CCTGAGGTACTGTGTGCCTATGTTATTAGTATCTCAGTCCCACCAAACTCCCAGGGCTGCTGTGAGTCGGCCTCCAAGGAGACCCTGAGTTTGTGAGTGCTTCCAGGCTGTGGAGGATCAGCTGGGGGCTTAGGCCCAGCCTGACCTGGTTTCTGGAGACAATCACCCTCCCTAAGCCCTCAGAGTCAGCCTCAGCTTCCATCTGGGATGGGAAGTAGGTAGATGGCTCTGTGTGTGTGTTGGGGTTGGGGGTGACCTGGAGTCCAGTTTCCATCAACCTACCAAGAAGGACCTGGTGATCTACTTCTGAAAAAGTTGATCAGTGAACACCTTATGGATAGCAGCAGAACACTGTATGATAATTGCGCCAGAAGATGAGCCCCTCAGGTTGGAAGGCACTCAAAATATGACTGAGGAAGAGCTGCCTCCTCAAAGTACAGTAAGAAGAGGAAGATCTCAATGGGATGGATTGACACACTGGCTACAACAGTGGGTTCAAACATAGCAATGACTGTAAGGTGGTGCAGGACCAGGCAGTGTTTCATTCTGTTGTACATAGGGTCGCTATGAGTCACAGCCAACTTGACAACAGCTGACCCCACCAAGCCTTCTGGCCCAGAAATCTGCCATCAGCTATTAGAATGCTCGGTGGGCACAGTGGGGCTCCAATCCCAGCTGAGCTACTTACTCTTCGTGACCTGGGGTCAGCCTTTTACCCTATCTGGGGCTCCGTTTCCCCATTTGTACAATTAAGAGGTCAGACTCCATGATGTCTCAGGTCTTTCTTCTTCTGACCTGGCAGGATTCTAGAATTCTCAGCATTCCCCCACCACAAAGCAGAAACTCCTGAGAGATGGCCCTGGAAGTCATTTGGAACCTTCCCCTCAGCCAGCTTCCCTTCCTCAGCCCAACTTTCCAGGCACCCTGGTTGCTGGATAGGGAAGACAATGCTTCAAATACTTGCGGGGCTGTCATTGGTAGGGTAAGGGAGTGAGCTTCCTGTCACTGGAGGTATGTAAGTGGGTGCTGGGATGCAAGCACAGAAGAAGGCAGTTGAATTCTCTGCAGTCCCTTCCAACCCTGGAGTCTGGGATGCTCTGGCTCTGGATCAGGCAGGGGGAAAGGCAGGTCTGAGTGGGGGCTCAGTGGGGGCTCCTGGGGCAGCACGGGGGCTCCATGAGCCTGAGAGGGGGTGTTCATTCATTTGATATAAGACACTTAAATGCCGTGGTCCCTGTCCTAAAGGGGCTTACAGTCAAAGGGGCACGGTGGCCTGAGAAGTGCTGGGGAGGCATGTTGGGGAGTCTAGGGGAGGCTCCTCCCAATCGGGTGGGACCCCATAGGGAAGGCTAATGTCTGCTCAGAGCTGCGATGGAAGGCAAGGGCATTGAGACAGGGGCGGTCGCACGCGGGGGAGAAGCAGTTGCTTACATTGTGGGACTACAATACTGCTGGAATGAAGCTGGAGGTGTTGAGGTGTAAGCAGTGAGAGGCAGGCCGAAGGGGCGGCAGGGGCCAGGTCATGCGCAATCTTGGGTGCTAAGCCAGGGAGTTTGAACTTGATCCTGAGGGCAACAGGGAGTCAGGAAACCTTGTGGGCAGAGGAGAGAGGCGGGTAGACTGTTATAGAAAGCTCGCCCTCATCACAGAGTGGAGACGGATGGCTTGGCGGAGGAGAAGGGAGAACGAGGAGGCAGTGATTGGGACCAGGGAGAGAGAGGAAGGGTGTCAAAGAGAGGGACAAGTCAAGACCAGGTGGGTGAGAGAAACATTTGTCTCTGCTTTATTTTGTTCCCTGCTGTGTCCCCAGCACCTAAAAACCGCACTTGGCACCTATAGTTGTTAGGTGCCGTTCAGTCGGCTCTGACTCCTAGCTAGCAACCTTATGTGTAACAGAACAAAACGTTGCCCGGTCCTCTGTCATCCTCACAATCACCAAATCTGTTGCCATTGAGTCAATTCCAACTCGTAGTGACCCTACAGGGCAGAGGAGAACTGCCCCAGAGGTTCTCCGAGGCTGTAACCTTTATGGAAGCAGACTGCCACATCTTTCCCCTGGAGAGTGGCTGGTGGTTCAAACCGCTGACCTTTTGGTTAGCAGCTGAGGACTTAACCACTGCGCCACCAGGCCTTCTTATCCTCACAGTAGTAAGTATGTTTGAGCCCACTGTTGCAGCCACTGTGTATGTAAATGCCTTCCAACCTGAGAGGCTCATCTTCCAGCACTATATTGGATAATGTTCTGCTATTATTCATAAGGCTTTCACTGGCTAATCTTCTTTGGAAGTAGATCGCCAGGTCCTTTTTCCTAGTCTGTCTTAGTCTGGAAGCTCCGCTGAAACCTGTCCACCATGGGTGACCCTGCTGGTATTTGAAATACCAGCAGCAAAGCTTCCAACATCATTGTACGTGCCTGTAGTTGGACCTCCTTAAGACATATTTATGCAATTAATGTTTCTGAATGAAGTTGAGTGAAGAGGACTCAGGCATTGAGTGGAGGAGGCGGGAGTGCTCCAAGGTTGTGTGAAGCCCTGGATGGAGGAGTCACTGGCGAGAGAGGCAACACCGAGAAGCAGGGATGGAGCAGGGCTGAAGCCGAGCACGGGGATGCTTATTACCACATTGTAATAAACAACACTGACAACAAAGAAACGACCAACTATCCAACCACAGGGGACACTGATGGATAACGGAGCATCTAGCCGTGCAGCTGTAGAATAAATGGAGGAGGTGGCTGGTATAAGTTGGGTTGGAAGGATGCTCCTGATGTGTTAATTGACAAAGGCAAGTTAGAGACTGGCACGTGTTCTCAGAGGGGCATGCAGAGAGACCTGGGCAGGTGGGGGTGGGGGGCCGGAGGAGGAGTTGTTCAGAACAGGTGGCAGCTGGAGCCAGGGGCAGGGATGACTTCACCAGGAGATTCCAAGCCCAGGGACCACAGCCTTGCTCAGAGACAGGTGCAGGAGAAGCCTGGGGGAGGCGTCACTCGGGGCACCCCAGCTGAGTCAGCTGAGCCTCCCGGCCCCCAGGGTCGTCTCTTGTCATTTAACCCAGTGGGGATGCTCTGATTCTAAATGCCGGGCTTCTCAGATTCTGCCAATTCCACGGAGTCCCTCAGTTGCCTGCCCTTTCCTGGGTCGCACATTATTGGCACATAGTCCAATGGGCTCAAGGCGCCCCTCCTACCCCTCCTGACATTCCCCAGGTGTTTCTCACTCCAGTCTAGCTCGTTTTCTCTTTTAGGAACCCAGGGGTCCTGCCCCCTCCACTTGGAAGAGCCTGGGAGTGAAAATAGCCTAGGGAGGGGGCGGGGTCCCGGCGCTCTATAAGGCTGGGCTGGAGCAGCGGCCCATGTGCCCCTGTCTCTCTGCCCCAAGGTGCTGTCTCAGCACAATGTGCATCTGGCTGGAGAGTCAAGTTACTGGTAAGGGGACCCGGGGCAACCTCCTCCCCAACCCTGTGGCCTTTTCAGCAGACTTAGGGCCCCTAGGGGGAGGGGTAGCTTGGGAAGGAGTGGGGGTGGGGCAAGGGGCAAAGATCCTCAGGTGGTGTTCTGACAGTATATGATTTGGGGCCTATCTCTACCCCTTTGGAGGCCTCAGTTTCCTCATCTGACAATTGGGGTAAGGTGACTATGGACCCATGCTAGAAAGAGTACAGAGGAAGGTGGGGTGGGACCTGAGATGGTCCCCCCACCAACATTCCCAAATTCAGTGGTTGACTTGCCACAAGCCCTTAGGGTGGGGCCTGAGTATATTTAACTAGAGCATGGGGGTTTGGGGAGAAAGAGATTCTTCTTCCTGAACCCCCAAACTTGGATCTCCTGGGCTTTGCCCAACCCATTTTCCCCAGCAGAAAGGGGGCAGTGGGCTCAGGAGAATGAACCGTGGCTCAGAAACTCTCCTTGTCACCCTAAACCCCTCAGGAAGGCTCCCAGAGCTCTCTTCCAGCCCTGGAGGACTGCTGAGGGGCTGGTGGGCAGAGCCCGGGCTCTGGGCACTCTGGGTTAAAGACAGGCTCTGTCTCTGACCTGCAGGGATGCTGTGGACAAACCGCCCGGCCGCTCGGGCCTCAGTTTTGCCATCAAGCAATGGGCGAGCACTCACTTTCCGCTGCTGCTTCTCCCAGGCCGGGTCCAGCAGCAGGTCGCGGTCCCAGTCCTCCTCTTGCTGCATGTACTCGCCGCCCCCGCCGCCCGCAAAGGGCCCCTCCACGGCCCCTAGGCCCTCGGGCTGCATAACCATCATCATCGCGCTCGGGATCCTGACTCCGCTGGGCTCCGCGCCCTCCCCGACGCGGGGGCCGCGTTAAGTAGGGACCGGCCCAGCCCCGGATCGGGTTCGCGCTAAATATGGGGGATGAGGGAGGGGCCGGCTGGGGGCGAGGGCGCTCGGGTCGGGACCAGGCCAGAGGCTACGCTGGGGCTGCGGAATTGTGGGGGTTGCTGGGGTGGGTCTTGGTGGATCCGGGGTTCGCATCAGGGCTCCGCCGCTTGGGCGCTGTGTGGCCTTGGGAAAGCCACAAGCCCTAGTGGCTGCAGACCGCTCTAGAGGCGTCCCTTGGGGCCTCCTCCTGACCCTGTTCCAGCGCCGCGCGTGGTGGGAAACAGGGAACCCTCTCCCCATTTCAGAGAAACACGGAGGGGCCGAGCTGTTTTGAGTGTTTTCTAGGGTGATGGAGGGAGACACCCGAGCATAGGGAGGGGCTCCAAGCCAGCTGGACCTAGACAAGGCCGAGCTATTAATATCGGGTTGGCTGCGGGTGAGAGGGAATGTGCTGAGCCGGGAAACCCCAACGCCAGCGAGGACGCAATTCAATCCTGCGGGCGCGCGGGCCAGCCCGACGTGGGCGGGGCTTCTGCGGGAGAGGCGGGGCCTCCGTGGGCGGGCGAGGCTATGACGTCAGGCCCTGTCCCGGCTCCACCGCCAATGGGAGTCCAACGGCGCCTCTGCTCATTCGGCGTCCAATCACATCTCCGCATCTGCTAGCGGCTTCCTTAAGAGCTCCTGTTGGTCGTGGCAGCCGTCCGTCTGCCGCTATCCCCGCCTCAATACGGAGGCTGCTGGGTACTAGGAAGCGACCGCGGGTGGGCCAGGGTCATGGGGCAGCCGTGGGTGGCGGGGAGCGCGGAGGGGGCGCCTGCGCGGCTGCCTCTTGTGATCCCGGCGCTGTGGGCCGCGGCCGTGGCCCTGGAGCTGGCCTACGTGCTGGTGCTGGGACCCGGGCCGCCCCCGCTGGGACCGCTGGCCCGGGCCTTGCAGCTCGCCCTTGCCGCCTTCCAGCTGCTCAACCTGCTGGGCAACGTGGGGCTCTTCCTGCGCTCCGATCCCAGCATCCGAGGCGTGATGCTGGCTGGCCGCGGGCTGGGCCAGGGCTGGGCGTGAGTGGGGCGCGGGGCCCGGCGGGGAGAAGCGGGCGACTTGGACAGGGGCAGGGGCCCCCGGACCTGCGTTGTCAGAACCAGATTACGTTAGGATCCAGGATGTTAGGGCCAGGGACCTCCTTTAGAACCTGGGGTTCTAGGTAGAGCCAGAAGGAGTAGCATTCATTCGCTTACAAATATTTATTGAGCACCTACTATGTGCTGGGTGCTCTTCTAGGCACTGAGGATGCAGTAAAATAGATTTTCGATCTGCAGCTGATTGCATGGAGGGGGGAAGTAATACACTATAGGCATAATAAATAAGCAAACTATGTCGAATGTTAGATGATGGTGTTTTGGAAACAAAAAGTAGAGAAGGAGAAAGGAGGTGCTACTTGCAGTTTTCAGTAGGATGGTCACGGTTGGCCTCTTTGAGAAGATGGCGTTTGAGCAAAGACTTGAAGGCGGTGGGAAGTTAGCCATGTGGGCATCTGGGGGAAGAGTCTTCCAGGCAGAGGGAACAGGTAATGCAAAGACTCCAAGGCCGTTGTGTGCCTAGCATGCTCTGGAGACTTCCGGAAGGTCAGTGTGGCTGGAGTGGAGTGAGGGCAGGGGAGAGAGGTGAGAGACCTAAGGGGTGGAGTCAGAGCATGTATTACCTTGTAGGACAGTGAAGGCTTTGCTTTTTACTAGGACTGAAGTGGCGAGTAATTGGAGGGATTTGAGCAGAGGAGGGACATGTTTTAGGTTTTAAAAGAATCATTTGGGCTGCTGGGGTGAGACTAGGAGGGGACAGCTCATGGTGGCTTAGACCAAAGTAGTGACAGTGGAGGAGGTGAGACGTTTGCACCTGGATGTTAGAGGCCAGAGAAAGGCCTTAGAACCGGGGATGCTAGAGCTGGAAGGGGCCTGGGAAGTCTTTTTGTTCAATCTGCAGTTACCCATGCAGAACTTGGGGCTCAGTGGCTGCTCCTGTTCTCCTGGGATGGGCTCAGGGGCTGCTGGGGCATGACATGGGGTACTCAGAACTGCTGGAGGCACTCACCCTGTGGTTCCTTCTCTGCAGTTACTGCTACCAGTGCCAGAGCCAGGTGCCGCCACGCAGCGGGCACTGCTCCGCCTGCCGCATCTGCATCCTGCGCCGGGACCACCACTGCCGCCTGCTGGGCCTCTGCGTGGGCTTCCACAACTACCGGCCCTTCCTGTGCCTCCTGCTTCATGCTGCTGGCGTCCTGCTCCACGTCTCAGTGCTGCTGAGCCCTGCACTCTCAGCCCTGCTGGGAGCCCACACCCCCCTCCACGCTGCCACACTCCTCCTGCTGCCCTGGCTCATGCTGCTCACAGGTAAGGAGCCTGGGTGGCTGCTGCAGGGAGGCGGACACGCCGGCATTGGGCTGCAGGGGAAGCTTATTCTGGTGGGAGATGGGATTTCCCACTGGTTCTCCTGGCAGTGCCCTGGGGCCCCATTCCCAGTGTCCTGAATGGGGGATGAGGGCAGACTGGGTGCCCAGCTGGTGCAGTGGGGTAAAACACAGTGCCTCAGCCCAGGACAGCATTTTGGCTGGGAGAACCCAGGAAGGATTCCTGGAGGTGTTGGCGGAGCAGGCAAGACTGGTGGGGGTTCAATAGGAATGGTGGGGGAAGAGTTCTAAATAAGAGGAACAGCATGAACAAAGACTCGGAGTTTGGGCAGGAAGCCGCACAGGGAATTTGATGGGAATTGTGGGAATTAAGGCTGGGGAGGTAGCTTAGGACTGGTGGAGTGCCTTGAATGCTGGTGTGAGGACATGGCCCTTATTTGACTGGGTAGTGGGGAGCCAGTGAAGCTTATACACAGAGGAAGGCCCCGTTATTGGAAATTGTGAAGAGAATGCAGTGTGAGGGAAAGATGTGGATCAGGAGGCTGACAGAGAGGCTGTGGTCTGGACAGCACCATTCAAGATAAAAGCCCCACCAGTCTTTATACTTTTTGTTCTCTCCCCACAGAATGCTTTGGTCTTTCTCTTCCCTGGCTCCCTCCCCCCGAACTTGTTCTGTGGTAACTAAACTCCCTGAGTTGTCCCTGCACTTCCTCATCCTATCCAAGCCAATCTCCGACCGGAGGCCTCCACTCCCTGCAGCCCAGGGGAAGCCTGTGGAGGCCCGCCCATGGGCTTGGTCCGTTTTCTTCTGCCGCAGTCCGCACGCACTTCCTGGCCGTCTGTTTGCTACCTTCCTCATAACTCCCAGTCAACGCTGAGACTCAGTCCCTCCAGCTGCACCTCCTCTGCTCCAGCGCGTGGAGGCCTTCCACTCACTCCCCCCCACTGCAGACTCGGGCCCCAGCTCCCAGGCTCTCTGCCCTGGGCCCTGCTGAAATCATGTGTCTTTCAGAGTCTATGCAAATGGCCCAGCATAGATAAAGTCTGCTTCCCTCACCCTCTTAAGAACTTTCCATGGTGTTTTCTTTTCCCCATAGGCTCTCTCTCTTTTTTAAACTGAGGTAAAATTCACATAACAGGTACCATGTTAACCATTTTAAAGCATGCAATTCAGTAGCTTCTAGTACATTCACACTATTGTGCAACCAATCAAAACCAGTTGCTGTTGAGTTGATCCTGATTCATGGTGACCCCGTGTTTGTCAGAATAGAACTGCCCTCCATAGGGTTTTCAATGGCTGATTTTTCGGTAATTCCAGACCTTTTTCATCATCCCCAAAAGAAACCCTGTACCCATTAAGCAGCCCCTCCTCACCTCCAGCCCCCCAGTTCCAGGCAACCACTCATGTGCTTTCTGTTGCTGTGGATTTGCCTGTTCTGGACGTTTCATATAAACAGAATCATACACTATGTAGCTTTTGTGTGTGGCTCATGTTTTCACGCGTTTTGTAGTTCATCAGGTCAGCAGAGACTTAGCGCCGAGTGTGGCCAGGGCCGTGTAAGACGCCCCACTTTTTCACTGTCACGCCCATCACATCTATAATCAGGCAGCTGAGAAGTGATGCGTTGGGTGCTTGTCTGCGAACTCCCTGAGGGCTGAGATGGTGTCTGCTGAGCTCATCCTTGTATTCATAGTGCCTAGCACCCAGTTTAGTGGTGCAGTGGTTAAAGTGCTCGGCTGCCAACCAAAGGTCGGTGGTTCGAACCCACCAGCCGCTCCATGGGAGAAAGATGTGGCAGTCTGCTTCTGTCAAGATTCACAGCCTTGGAAACCCTATGGGGCAATTCTACTCTGTCCTATAGGATTGCTATGAGTCGGAATCGACTTGACAGCAGTGTGTTTGGCTTTTTTTTTTTAGCCCCCAATTTGAGATGCATGAGTGAGGGTCTCTCTCAGGCAGGGGGCCATGTCTGCCTGGGTCCAGTGTGCTCCCATCTCCCGGCCTGGCACGGCTGGTCAGGGAGGTGCTTGCTGAGGGAGGAAGGAGCCCTGCTTCATGGTGGAGGGTGGGGGAGGGCAGGAGCTGGGCTCTGGGGACCCGGCTGACTGCTGCCCTCACCCTCTTTGCTCTCTCCTTGCAGGTAGGGTGTCTCTGGCGCAGTTCGCCCTGGTCTTCGTGACGGACACGTGTGTGGCGGGTGCGCTGTTGTGCGGGGCTGGGCTGCTCTTCCATGGGATGCTGTTGCTGCGTGGCCAGACCACGTGGGAGTGGGCTCGGGGCCAGCACTCCTATGACCTGGGCCCGTACCACAACCTGCAGGCGGCCCTGGGGCCCCGCTGGGCCCTCGTCTGGTTCTGGCCCTTCCTGGCCTCCCCCTTGCCTGGGGACGGCATCTCCTTCCAGACCCCAGCTGATGGGGGACCTGTGGCTTCCTGACTGCAGGAAGGGCTCAAACTGTACTGGGGGATAGGGAGTGGGCTGGCCCTTAATGCCTGCGGCTGCTCCGGAAATAATCCAAGCTGCTGCCCCAGCCAGCTTGAGTTGGAAATTTGGGATCCATTTGGCAACTCCAGCCCCTTCCTTCGCCTTGGCCGTGCCCCTGCCCTGCTTGGACCCCTACCCGTCAAGGGCTGGGGCCCTGTGGCTCTGCCTCTGTTAGTGGCCCCAAGTGCTCTGGAGGGTCTGGGAAGGGCTGCCTGGCCAGCCTCGCTGCCTCTTTACCAGGCTAATAAAGCGCCCACTTAGTTCTTGTCCTCCCTCCGTCTTGGCTTGGTTTCTGGCCCTTGGTTTTGTTGCCTCGGCTACTGTTTCTGGCACCTCGATTGTCAGGCCTGGAAACCAGGGAGTGTCTGAGGGCTCAGGAGCCGGGGCTGTGCCTCCTCTGGCCTTGGCATGGGGGGTGGGGGTGGGGCTGCAGGTCAGGGTGGCATTGTCGTGAGCCGAGGTATGAGAACACAGACATTCTTCCCCAGGTTCAGGGCTTTGGAGCTAGAAGCATTTCTGCAACAGCAGTGCCATCGACCCTCTCTTTAGCCGCACTGGGCAGCAATTATCCTTATTTTGTGGGTGGAAAATGTAAAGCTCTGAGAGTTGATGGGATAAAATCATGGGGTAGTAAATGAAGGAGTCAGGGTTTGAACCCAGGTCTTTGTGCTTTCTCCTTCATCCATGCACAGCAAAAGGAAGTGAGTAGGGCTCACGTGTGAGAACGAGGCTGCGAAGATGATTGCAACCGGGGCAGCAGAGAGCCTTCCGGCTTTGAGCCAACAGGAAGAACTAGTGGATTTGCCAAAAGACTACCCCTTGAGTGCCAGTGAAGATGAAGGGGCCAGTGATGGAGAGAGGAAGCATCGAAAGCTTCTGGAAACAATCAATTCCCTTGATGGAAAGACTAGGCGGAAACTGGCTGAGAGATCAGAGGCCGGTCTGAGTGTGTCCGAGTTCAGTGTCAGTTCTGAAGGAACAAGAGAAAAGCTGGTCCTTTCAGATCTGCTTCAGCCCATTAAAACTTCGTCCTCCTTGGCCACTGTGAAAAAGCAACTGAAGAGAGTCAAATCAAAGAAGACGGTGGAGTTGCCCCTTAACAAAGAAGAGGTTGCACGGATCCACAGAGAAGTGGCATTCAATAAAACCTCCCAAGCTCTCTCCAGATGGGATCCTATAATTCTAAAGAACCGGAAGGCAGAGCAGCTGGCTTTTCCCCTGAAGAAGGAGCGGGCAGTGTTTGCTCCCATTGAACATGTGCTCCGTGGCTGGAAGGCAAGAAGTCCCTTGGAGCAGGAAATTTTCAATGTCCTCCACAAGAACGAGCAGCCAGTGACAGACCCTTTACTGACTCCAGTGGAGAAGGCCTCTCTCAAAGCCATGAGCCTAGAAGAGGCTAAGATGCGCAGAGCAGAGCTTCAGAGGGCCCGGGCCCTGCAGTCCTACTATGAGGCCAAGGCTCGGAGAGAGAGGAAAATCAGAAGCAAAAAGTATCACAAAGTTATGAAGAAAGGAAAGGCCAAGAAAGCCGTAAAAGACTTTGCGACACTGAGGAAGGTCAGTCCTACTGCAGCATTAGAAGAACTAGAAAAAATGGAAAAGGCCAGAATGGTGGAGCGAATGAGCCTAAAGCACCAAAACAGTGGGAAGTGGGCCAAGTCAAAGGCAATTATGGCCAAGTATGACCTAGAGGCTTGCCAGGCCATGCAGGAACAGTTGGCCAAGAACAAAGAACTGATGCGGAAACTCCAGGCACCTTCTGAGAGTGAGGAAGAGGAGGGAGGCGTAGAGGAGGACGGACTTTTTGTCCCTGATGTGGTGAATGAAGTCCAGATGAACATAAATGGGCCAAACCCCTGGATACGTACAAGTTGCACCAGTGATACAAAAGAGGCTGAAATCCAAAAGGACCCTGAACAACTTCCCGAGCGTCTGGCCTGCGAGAATTCAGAAAGTGAGGGGGAAGAAAGTCCAGTAGCAGAAGAAACCTTGTTGAAAGAATTTGAGGAAAGGCGATCCCTTAGGAAAAGGCCTGAGCTCAACCAGGATGCCCAACCCCTGGGCCGTGAAGAAACACAAGACTCTAGCAGCCAGGAGGTGCTGTCAGAATTGAGGGCACTGTCTCGGAAACTCAGCAAGGAAGACCGTCAGTCCAGGAAGCAACAAGTGAATTCAGTGGGGGCTGTGCTTCCAGTCCAGAGAGAAGAACCAGACCAGGAGGAGGAGCCCTTGTTGCTGCAGAGGCCAGAGAGAGTGCAGACTCTAGAAGAGCTGGGTAAAGAAGACTGGTTTCAAAGTACAGAGCTTCCCAGACCTGCGTCACAGGGGCAGCAGATGGAGAAGAACCCAAATGATCAGCCTGATGCCCCTAAGAAGAAAAGGAAGGAGCACATGATTGATTTACAGAACCTCCTAACCACAAAATCTCCCTCTGGGACGTCTTTGGCAGTTCCCACAACAGTTGAGGAGTTGGAAGGTGAAGAAGAGAGAGACCAAAAGCAGATGATAAAGGAAGCTTTTGCTGGGGATGATGTCATAAGAGACTTCTTGAAAGAGAAGAGGGAAGCTGTGGAAGCGAGTAAGCCAAAGGACGTGGACCTGACACTGCCTGGCTGGGGTGAGTGGGGTGGGGTGGGCCTACAGCCCAGTGCCAAAAACAGACGTCGGTTTCTCATGAAAGCTCCTGAGGGTACTCCAAGAAAAGACAAGAATTTGCCAAACGTGATTATCAGTGAGAAGCGCAACATCCGTGCCACAGCTCATCAGGTGCACGTGCTTCCATACCCATTCACCCACCATCAGCAATTTGAAAGGACCATCCAGACCCCTGTAGGATCTACGTGGAACACCCAGAGGGCCTTCCAGAAGCTGACTTCTCCCAAGGTTGTCACTAAGCCAGGCCATATCATTAAGCCCATAGAAGCCGAGGATGTGGGCTACCGGTCTTCCTCAAGGTCGGACCTCTCTGTGGTACAGAAGAACCCAAAACGACTCTCCATCCGTCACAAAAGACAGCTGAAGAAAAACTCTGTAGATTGAGTTGCTGGAGAACGGACATCTTGATGCCCTACTTCTTCTTCATTGGGCTTGGTGTTACTGCCACCTGCATGATCAGTTCCGAAACTGGCTTATCACGTGTGTGCGTAGTTAAACTGCACTTTAGAAATAAAGGCTCTTTTAAAGGGGGAGTAGGAAAAAAATCAGGGCAAAGGAATTGGCTAGGGACATCCAAGCATCTGTGAATGGTGGTGCTCCTCTCTGGACTCTTGAGGAGCTGCTTGTTAAATATTTGTAGTTCAGTATCTTTAGAGTCGATAGACTTCCAGTGGCAGGTTTAAACACATGGGTTTATCTCTGCTTCCTCTTAAAATCTCACTAAAATGATAGCAAAGAAATAAAAATGTATCAGTTTACAAGGAGAAAGAAACTAGGAGGGCAAAAAACAGTAGACCAGAGAGCCAGCCAGCCAAGTTTTAAAAGATAGAAAGTGGGTGGAGGCCTGTTTACTCTCTTAGCAGATAATTAGAAGTGGAATGTCAGGGTTCCCAGAGGCAGGCCCAACTGCCCCCAGAGCCCTGGAGAGGCTCACAGTTCCATGGTTCGGGGATGGTGAGGTGAGGCAAGGGGGTGGGAACTGATGCAAAGTCTGCGTGAGGAGCAGGTGCGCCCTCCCCACACCTTGCAGCTACCCCTGAGGGGTGGGTTACTCAAAAGAGGAACTGAACCAGAGGTCTGAGTGTCAGGGGCGCTGGGCACGGGAGAGGGTGGGGATGAGGAGCTGGACCAAAAATTAAGCAAAACGAGTGTTGGTAACGGCTGCTGGAGGATCCTCCGGGGAGATGGCATGCATGCCTCTCAAGTCCCCAGAGAAACCCCACCACCTTACAGGCCCTGCCCACGCCCACAGAGTTTCCAGCTGCGTGTTTTTTTTTTTTTTCCCCCCAAAATGACATGATCTGTTACTGATTTTTAACTTCTGTTTTTTTAACTATGTTAGGAACTTTGGGTACCCGGCACTCTGGCCTCTACAACCCTCAGCAGCTTCTTCCTCTTTCCTCCTTTGCCTTCTCTCTCAAATTCCAGAACATCCTATTCTCTTGGGGTTTATTAAATCATGATGAGATGCAAGAAAATATTTGTACAACAAAGAGAACATCTCCGTCCACCCCCATGTAAGAAAAAGAACATTACCGCTTCCTTTGACGTCCCTGGTGACCCCTTCCTTATAGGGGAAACACCGTCTTGATCATTCCCTTGCTTGCTTTATAGTTTTATTACATAAGTTGGTATGAGTTTGCATGTTTGTGAATTTTATATAAATGGACTCATACCATGTTTATTCTTTTGTGACTTGCCTTTTCACTCATTGTATTTCTGAGATTTATCCACATAAAGCATGTCGCTATGGGGGTCCCCTTTTCCCTGCTGTATAGTGATCCATTGACTAGACTACGGTTTATTTTTCTATTTTGTTCCACTGGTCATTTTATCTACCCATGTTATCAACGACTAAGATCTGTTGGTCTGTTCTCTTCCATAAAAATTTTGGAATTAACTTGTATCAGGTCCTGCCCATGAAAACTCCTTTGGGATTGTGAATGGAACCAGACTGAATCGATGTATCAGTTTGGGGAAAATTGACATCTACATGAAATTGAATTTTCCAGTTCATGAACATGGTATATTTCTCCATTTAATGTTTTTCAATAAAGTTATATATTTTCTCATGAAGATCGTGACTTTGTTAGTACTTGATATTTTTATGCTATTGTATATGGTTTATGAAAACAATGTGTCTAGCAAATTTGTTAAAGTTTATTCTTATAATTTATCTGTAGATTCTTCTGAGTTCTACATTTAGAATCATATAATCTAGGAAAAGACAGTTTTGTTCTTCCTTTTTAATTATGTTTCTTGCCCCTTCAGTATGGGTGAGACCGCTGTATAGTGTGGAACAGAAGTAGCAAACACCCTTAACTTGTTTTGACCTTAAAGAGAATGATTTCAGTAGTTCATCATTAAATGTATTTGCTGTGAGTTTATAAACCTGCTGCCATCGAGTCAATTCATGTTTTGTTTTTTATAGATGCCCTTTATTAGGCTGAGAAAGTTCTCTTCTGTTCCAAATACGCTGAGTTTTTATCCTCTGACTTCCAATCTTTTGTCTCTTAAGAACGGACTACAGAATGGATTTTTATTATCTAGATAAATTTTGTATTCTGATTGAAGCATTTAGTCATTTATATTTATCGTAATTAGTTTTATACTTGGATATATTTCTAGCACCTTATTTTGTGCTGTTTTTCCCACCTTTTCTAGTTGTTTTTTTTTCCCCTTAATCTTTTTTATTTAAAGTTATTTTTGCTGGGTATAGAATTCTAGGTTAATACAGTGAAACCTGCAAAAGCCGGAGCTCGACAGGACCGCCTTGTTTTTCCAGGTCTCGCAAATTTTCTGCCTTGGACAGGGTGCAGTCTTACCACTTCTCTGTTGCTCATTTCAGTAGAAAATATTAGAGTTTTCTTTCTCTGACAGGTTTCTGTCTTACACAGTTTCTGGCTTTTGCAGGTTTTACTGTATTTTCTCTCAAAACATTGAAACTATACTGCTATTTTTTGGTCTCCTTTGTTGCTGTTAAGTCAGCTGTCATCTTTTCTTGTTGTTGACCCTTTGAGGATACTTTTTAAAAATATTTTTATTGTGAAATGTAACATTTGCCATTTCAACCATTTTTACATGTACAATTCAGTGATGTTAATTATATTCACTATCTTGTGCAACAGTTGCCACTGTTTCCAGATTTTTTCCTCATGAAGACATCTTTTGTCTCTCCTTTTAAGGTCTCTGGTGCACTGTAGTTTTACTACGATGTGCCTAATTGTGGCTTTCTTTTCAGTTATCCTGTTGGGATTCATTGGGTTTACTGATTCTATGAATTGATGTCTTTGGTCAGTTCTAGAAAATTCTCAAATCATTATATTTTCAGATACTTTCTGTGCCCTATTGGAACTTTTATTAGACCTTCCTACTCCATCCTCCTGGTCTCTTAATAGTTCATGTTACCTCTCTGTTTCTGGACATTCTGGATCCTTTCTATCGAATATAACAGTTAGTACTTTAAAAAGCCGCTAAATCTATCAAGCTTTTTTTTTTTTTTTTTTTTTTTTTTACAAAAAAGCAGTTGTACTAATTCATCCATTTCAAATATTTTTCATTTCTAGAAGTTCTTTTTCAAAATCTGCTTCAGCATTTTATATAATCTCTTGCTCTACTCATATTTGAAATTTATTTAAATATATTGAAAACATTTTATATTCTTTGGTAACTGCAGTAAATCCTTGTGAGCCTGATTCTGCAGGCTGTTGTTTCTGTTGGTTCTTGCTCATGATACCTTATTTTCCTGCAGTTTATGACTTTTGACTGTAAGTTCATATATCCTGGAATCTTATCAATGGGGGTTTTTTGGGGTTGGGTTAAAAGTAAATTCCTCCAGAGAGGAAGTGTTTTTGTCTGTCACTTGCCTGATGACACACCAACCCTGCCTAGCTTTAAACTAAATTTCCAGCTAGGGGCCTTTTGGACCACCCAGGTATTGTCAAATCAAGTTGCAACCTCTTATTCAGGGCTGGTTAAAAATTGTGGGGAGCGCCCCTCTCCCCCCAACTTCTACCCAGCACTAAGCTTGGATACAGGCAATTTTCCTTACTGGTTCTGGTGAGATGGAAGGTGGGGTGGTTTATCTAGTTCAGCTTTACACTGTACATATAAGCTCTTTGGAGGCCCGATTTAGATGCCCCGTCTTAAAGGTAAACAAAAAACTCAGAGGAAACAATGATAATGCAAGGAATTAAAAAAAAAAAAAAAAATGTTCTCCGACAGATGAGAAGATAATTTAGCTTTGAAAAAATATCACAATTAAGAACTGATGAGAGAACAGTTGGTAATTAAATTTTTAAATTCAGGAGAAGAGCTGGAACATAAAGATAAAAATAAAACTCTCCCAGAAAACTGAACAGAAAGACAATATGACAGAAGAAAATCAGAGGATCAATGCTATTCTTTCTGGAATTACATGTAGCAGATGCTGGGCACAATAGGAACTCCAGAGAGAAGAGAGAAAATAGAGGGGAGAAAATCTCCAAAGAAAGAATGCCAGTAAAATTTCCTGAAACTGAAGGCTGTACATATGCCTCCACCCCACTAAGTGCCCAGCACAATTAGGGCGCACAGTAAGGTGTGTCATGAAATGTCGAACCCTGAGAGAGAGAAGGAGTAGCAATGGCATGCAGCTGCTCAATAAGCATTACCACAAGCTAGAAGACAAAGGAGCCCTGCCTGCATGAAAATGATTTTTAACTTCGAGTTTTATTACCCAGCCAAACTATCACATGTGCGGGAGAACTGGATAAAGAAAGTTTCAGACAAGCAGTGTCTTAAAATTTTTAACTCTAATGACTTTTAAAAGAAGGTACCTGAAGATACACTTCTTCATCAAATGAGGAGTAAAAGAACTATGAAGAGGGAAGACATGGGGTCCAGGAATCAGGGGATTTGGTCCTGGAGTGGCAAAGGGAATTCCCAGGAGAACAGTTCTGCAGCAGCTCTCGGGAGCAGACAGGCCGCACTGAAGCATGGGAAGACAGAACTGGTGGAAAAATTTGTTGTTGTTGTTAGCTGCCATCACATCTGTGACCTTTCAGAAGCAGATCACCAGGCCTTTCTTCTGAGGCACCTCTGGGTACATTCGAACCACCAACCTTTCGGTTAGCAACAAGCACTTAATCATTTGTGCCACCCAGGCACTCCTGGGGTTAAGAATTAGCAGTTGGTATAACTGACTTGCTGAAAGGTCGGCAGTTCAAACCTAACAGCCACTCTGGGAGAAAGACGTGGCAGTCTGCTTCCATAGATTACAGCCTTGGAAACATCTATTATAATCAGAATGTGGAATGTACGAAGTATGAATCTAGGAAAATTGGAAGTTGTCAAAAATGAAGTGGAATGCTTGAAGATTGATATCCTAGGCATTAGTGAGCTGAAATGGACTGGTATTGGGCATTTTGAATTGGACAATCATATGGTCTACTATGCCGGGAATGACAAATTGAAAAGGAACAGTGTTGCATTCATTGTGAAAAAGAACTTTTCAAGATCTATACTGAAGTACAATGCTGTCAGTGATAGGATAATATCCATATGCCTACAAGGAAGACCAGTTAATACGACCATTATTCAAATTTATGCACCAACCACTAATGCCAAAGATGAGGAAATTGAAGACTTTTACCAACATCTGCAGTCTGAAATTGACCAAAAATGCAGTCAAGATGCATTGATAATTACGAGTGACTGGAATGCTAAAGTTGGAAACAAGAAGGATCAGTGGCTGGAAAATATGGCCTTGGTGATGGAAAGTACGCTGAAGATCTTATGATAGGATTGTGCAACCAATGACCTATTAATTGGAAATACCGTTGTCAAAAACATAAATGGCGGTTATACACATGGACCTCGCTGGATGAATACACACGAATCAAACTGACTACATTCATGGCAAGAGACAATGGAGAAGCTCAGTATCATCAGTCAGAACAAGGCCAGCGGCCGACTGTGGAACAGACCATCAATTACTCATATGCAAACTCAAGTTGAAGCTGGAGAAATTAAAATGAGTCCACGAGAGCCAAAGTACAACCTTGAGTATATCTCACCGGAATTTAGAGACCAACTCAAGAATAGATTTGACGAATTGAATACTAATGACCAAAGACCAGACCAGCTGTGGGATGACATCAAGGACATCATACATGAAGAAAGCAAAAGGTCGTTAAAAAGACAGGAAAGAAAGAAAAGGCCAAAACAGATGTTACCAGAGGCTCTGAAACTTGCTCTTGAACACAGAGTAGCTAAAGTGAACGAAGAAATGACGAAGTAAAAGACCTGAACAGAAGATTTCAAAGGGTGGCTTCAGGAGACAAAGTATTATAATGAAATGTGCAAAGACCTGGAGTTAGAAAACCAAAAGGGAAGAACATGCTCAACATTTCTCAAGCTGAAAGAACTGAAGAAAAAATTCAAGTCTTGAGTTGCAATATTGAAGGATTCTATGGGGAAAATATTAAATGATGCAGGCAGCATCAAAAGAACATGGAAGGAATATACAGAGTCACTGTACCAAAAAGAATTGGTCAACGTTCAACCATTTCAGGAGTAGCATATGATCAGGAACCAATGGTACTGAAGGAAGAAGTCCAAGCTGCACTGAAGGCACTGGGGAAAAACAAGGCTCTAGGAACTGACGGAATACCAATTGAGATGTTTCAACAAATGGATGCAGTGCTGGAAGTGCTCACTCATCTATGCCAAGAAATCTGGAAGACAGCTACTTGGCTAACCGACTGGAAGAGATCCATACTTATGCCTATTCCAAAGAAAGGTGATCCAACCGAATGCACAAATTATCGAACAATATACACAAGTAAAATTTTGCTGAAGTTCATTCAAAAGCAGCTACAGCAGTACATCGATAGGGAACTGCCAGAATTCAAGCTGGATCCAGGAGAGGACATGAAACCAGGGATATCATTGCTGATGTCAGATAGATCCTGGCTGAAAGCACAGAATACCAGAAAGATGTTTACCTGTGTTTTATTGAGTATGCACAGGTATTCGACAGTGTGGATCATAACAAATTATGGATAACATCATGAAGAATGGGAATTCCAGAACACTTAATTGTGCTCATGAGGAACCTGTACATAGACCAAGAGGCAGTCGTTCGAACAGAACATGGGGATACCGCGAAGTTTAAAATCAGGAAAGGTGTGTGTCAGGGTCGTATTCTGTCACCGTGCTTATTTAATTGGTATGCTGAGCAAATAATCCGAGAATTTAGACTATACAAAGAACAGGGCATCAGGATTGGTGGAAGACTCATTAACAACCTGTGATATGCAGATGACACAACCTTACTTGCTGAAAGTGAAGAGGACTTGAAGCACTTACTGATGAAGATCAAAGACTACAGCCTTCAGTATGGATTACACCTCAACATAAACAAAACAAAAATCCTCACAATTGGACCAATAAGTAACATCATGATAAATGGAAAAAATATTGAAATTGTCAAGGATTTCATTTTACTTGGATCTACAATCAACACCCATGGATGTCGCAGTCAAGAAATCAAATGATGAATTGGGCAAATCTGCTGCAAAAGACCTCTTTCAAGTGTTAAAAAGCAAAGATGTCACTTTGAGAACTACAGTGCACCTGACCCAAGCCATGGTATTTTCAATCGCTTCATATACATGCAAAAGCTGGAAAATGAATAAGGAAGACAGAAGAATTGATGCCTTTGAATTGTGGTGGTGGCAAATACTGAATATACCATGGACTGCCGGAAGAACGAACAAATCTGTCTTGGAAGAAGTACAGCCACGATGCTCATTAGAAGCAAGGATGGATAGTCTCATATACTTTGGACATTTTATCAGGAGGGATCAGTCCCTGGAGAAGGACATTATGCTTGGTAAAGTAGAGGGTCAGCAAAAAAGAGGAAGACCCTCAGTGAGATGGACTGACACAGTGGCTGCAACAATGGGCTCAAGCGTAACGGTTGTGAGGATGGCGCAGGACCAGGCAGTGTTTCGTTCTGTTGTACACAGGATCACTATGAGTCGGAACCGACCTGATGGCACCTAACAACATAACAACAACAGCAAGTAGGTGCATGTTTTTTGATAAATATTAAAAAAAAAAAAAAGACAGCAACTTTAACCTCCTCCTCATCCTTAATGGACACAATTTCCTGTAGTTCTAACCAGTGTGTGCAATGGGAACCATGCACTGTTTCTTGCTTCATATTGTTTGATGTACGCTTGTCCACACAGTGCAGTTCACATATATATTTTTAATAATGGGCACGTAGTATTACTGGAGTCCCTGGGTGGCGCAAATGGTTAAGCGCTCGACTATGAGATGAAAGGTTTGCGATTCGAACCCACCCAGAGGCACCTCGGAAGACAGGTCTGGCAATCTGCTTCTGAAAGGTCAGAGCCTTGAAAACCCAATGGAGCAGTTCTGCTGTGCATACACAGGGTCACCATGAGTCAGTATCGACTTGACAGCAACTACAACAGCAGCTGTTAGATGTTAGAGTATTACACTCAAAGCCGCCATGAGTCAGGACTGACCCGCTGGAACTGGGGGAAAAAAAGTATTACCCTATAAATTCACCTTAGGCAATGGGCACAGGTAGGAGCAGCTTCTCGTCATAATTATTAGTAGCTCCAAGTAGGACTTGGATCAGACTTTCTTGTTCCAAGTTCACAGTTCCTAGCTTAAGTGGGGTGAAAGGGAGGGTAGTGTCACCTGGCCCAGCACACTACCTTCCACTTGACAACCTGGCCCTCGCTTGCACAGCTCCAGGGACAAGGAGCATGTCACCTTCTAGGCCTTTTCCTGTCTGATAAGCTCTGTTAGAAAGTTCTTCCAGGTAAGGTGAAATCTCTGACAGCTGCCCTCGGGAGCAACACTCCCTCCACCCCACACCTTTCCAATTCCAGGTTAAGCTCCTGCTTCCAGCGGTGCCTCTGCAGGCTTGATCTGGAAATCCTTTGCCACCCTAACCCATCTGCACTGTGTCAGTGAGTGGCCACCTCAGCTGTCAGGCAGAGAAGGGGGGACGGGCTCTTTCTCTGGGCCAGACCCCTTACTTCCCTCACCGTGCCAGGGGCAGGGGTGGGCTGTGGCTGTCATCCTGTCTCCCACTGTGTCTTGGACACAAATGCTCAGGCCCTCGGCTCAGAGGCAACAGCTCTGCAGTGACTCCTGTCAAGTGTCACCTTTCTGGAGCCGGCTCCTCGTTTCCTCCCGAGGGGCTGCCGAGCTGATGGGGTGTCAGAGATGAAGAAGCTTACAGTCTGGTCATTTTACATGTGGGGACACTGAATCCCAGAGGACTTGGTCACCTCCCCCAGGCTGAGCTGTCCACAAGCACTGGGATGCACCTGGTCAGGTAAGGGACAATAAAGGTCTCCAAGGAGCACAGACCCTGGCTCACAAGTGGCACAGAGTGGCCCCTGTAGCAGCAGCCCCCCAGAGGGCAGGGAGGTGGGCCAGGCAGACGGCCAGGGGCTCCCGGAGGCACCTAGGGTCTCTGGCCCTTAGCCTTCCAGCTAATCTCACATGTTAGCTGCTGCCCCGTGAGCTTTCTGTCTGCCCACATGACTGAGCTGGGCGCCAGGGCCCAGGAAAGCATCTCTGTGCCACCTCCCGTGTGTCCTGGCCCCACCTCTACTCTGCCTGGCTTAGCCTTCCTCTGCCGGGCATGAGCGTCCAGGTCAGGGGCAGCTGTGTGTGGTCCTCGGGAACCCGCGTGGGCTGCCCCCTGCACTTCAGCACCACCTCCTCCCTCCGCAGCCTTCGGGAGCATCGTGGGGCTAAGACCCAGGCTGAGTCCAGGATTTCAGAGAAGCCTTCGGAACGGAAGGAGGGGCCCCTGGGTCAGCTGATGAGGGGAGCCCACAGCATGTGCTTTGCCTGCAAGCTGAGCTGGGAGCAGGGCTCAGTCTCAGACCTCGGCAGCTGATGAGTGACGGGACTAAGGGAAGCAGCCGAGGAGGAGGGCTGGGCCTCTCCCCTCTCCTCACCTCACGTCTCCCCTGTCCACGCTCCTCCTGTGGACCTGGGTCTGGTTTCTGGAGAACACGGTGGTGGTGAAGAGGGGGTGGAGGAGCAGGAGCTCAGGACCCGCCTGAGTGGTTTCTGAAGGAGAAGGAACTGAACCCCCTGGGGGCTCACTAACCTGCTGCCATAGGCCCAGTGGTGGGGATGGTGAGAAAGGGGCATTTAGGAGAGAAGAGGGGTGCTGCCACCAGCACCCTGCTATGCGGGGGCCTGCTGCCCAGCAGAGGTGGTGTGTCCCCCGGCTCTGGCTTTACACAGGTTTCGGGGATCAGGCAGCTGCCAGCCCCTCGCTCACAGGCATGTTGATGTGGGCGCTTAGCAGAGGCGCGGACCGGCCTTCCCGCAGCACCAGCACCTGAGGAGGGGGTGCCCGTGCAGTTGGGGGCATGCACCCGTTACCCCCCTCCCCCACTCCCTGAAAGACCAAGCCTGGCCTGGTCTGATTTGTTCCTAGTGACAGGCCACCAGGGGTTGGGGCGGCCAGGGGCCCCGACTGTGCAGATGACCCCTTCCCCTACCACAGCCGCCTGAGGGCTTTGTCCCCACTCATCCACACTATCTCCCCAGGTTCCCGGCGCGCCCACCAACGGGCGACTCACCTTGATGACGTCTGAGATGCCCTTGTCACTGAGACTCTCCACAAAGGTCTCCAGGGGGTAGCTGAGCCCTGGCACCAGCAAGGGGACCTTAGTTTGGGGACAAAGAGGTAAGGAAATCAAGCCTCAAGGCTGGATAGCTTCGGGCAGATTCCAAGTGCTCTCCTGTCCACTGTCTCAGCCAAATCTCACCACCCGCCTCGGGTGGGCAGGGGTAGCCACCGGTTCAGGAGGACGGGGGCTCAGCGAGGGGAAGCGAATGCTGCAGGCTGCACGGACCGAGGCCTCGTGACGCGCACCAACGCCAGGGCTGCTTCTTTCACACCCCAGGGTCTTTCTCAATTCCTGGTCCTCCCAACTCAAGGTGCAGCCTGGGCCCTGGGGGAACACGGGGCTCCTCCCTTCATGGCAGATTCTCCTTGGGGCAGGGAGAGCTCCGTTCCTGTTGCAGTGGCGGCTGTGACGCAGTGGGGCTCTGAGAGGCCATGAGGGGCCCAGGCTCCGGGCTTTCTCCCGGCACCTCTGTCCAGTTCCGAGCGCTCTCGCAGGCTGGGAGAACAGCAGAGGAGGCAGGTCTGGGGGGCCCCTCCGAGGCCCCGCCGTGGCCCTGGCCCTGGTCTGCGGCTGCAGAGTCAGCCTGCAGGCCCCGTCAGCTTCCTCACCTCCAACCTGGTGGGGCCCTGTGGGTCTCTAACCAGGCACCCCCAACCTCTGCCCCCCATGTCTCAGTGAGCAGGGTCTATCCAGTACCTTGAAGAAGGCCCGGGGCAGGGAATAGAGCACCTCGTTGTACAGGAAGCAGACCAGCAGCCCCACGATGGGCCGGGCCATCGAAGTGTTCTGCAGGTGAAGTGTGAGCTTAAAGGTGGGGCCCAGGCCCTGGACCTGTGCCGGGCGAATGGAGAACACCCTTAGGACCCAGTGGCCCTCTGCCCCTGAGGCCACCCTTCTCCAACTGCTTCACACTGGCCATCTGACCCTCAACATGCCCAGAGGCCCAGGCAATGGCTTCAGTGTGGAGAGGGGTCAGCATAGGCCCAAGGAGGGGAAGGGGCTGCAGCGGGGCCGCTCATCGAGTCGGAGGCAGAGCTGGCCTGGGTTCCTCGTGTCCCCAGCCCTGCCTCTGCCCTCTCCCGCCAGGACCTGGTTCCACCTGCACTCTCGTCCTGTGGGGGCCTCAGTGACTTCCTTTTTCTCCCCCGCACCCTGGCTTGCTTTGTAGTGTCTTCCTCCCCATTATCTTCAGGGAAAGAGAAACTGGAAGCCCAGCTGGATGGGGCAACAGAACTCAGGGGCCATTCAGAGCTGGGTGGAGGCCCTGACCTCCAGGTTGCTGTGTCTAGTGTGCAGCCCCTCCCCTCTTCCTCCTCCTCCTCCATCTCCTCGTCCTCCTCCTCCTGCCCTGAGCAACCTCAGGCTGCCTGGCCCCGGGCAGGACGGCCCTTCCCTGGACAGGCCGTGGGAGCACCTCAGGCTGCCCCGTCACTGAAATGAAGCGTGTTCCTCCCTAAACCAGAGCTCTAGAGTCCCACCAGCCTCCTGGGAGAGATGTCCCAGGGTGACCACTGTGTCTCCGCCCCATGTGTGGGGCTTATCGAAGCACAGCCCGGGACTGGGGAGCCTGTCCCACCCTGTGGCCAGCTCAGGGGACAGGCAGCACGGGAGGAACAGGTGAGGACGGCTCTCACAAAGGTGGCCCTGGAACTGTGGGAAGACGAGACAGGGGCTTGGAACTGGCTCTGGGGGCTTCACTGTGAGGCCGAGGGGTTCCACCCCCCACCTCTGCCCCTGGCCCCAAGGCCACCCGGCTGCCCCTACCCGGGGCTCTCACCACCGCGTGCAGCTTGAGCGGCTCCCAGGCTGTCGCAGACACGGGGCTCAGGCTGGACTCGAGGGCCTGCACGTAGGCCCGGGAGGCACGGAGGCGCAGCAGGTAGAGTTCTGTCTGGAAGGTTCGGTGCATGGCTGAGGAGGGGAACACAAAGTGATGCTGGGGGAGCAGAGAAAAAGGAGCAGGCAGCAGTGGTCGTGCATTCCTGGCCCTCTGGGAGCTGGCTCTGACCTACCTCTCCGCCCCCTCTGGCCACTGGCCTCTCTGCACCGCAGCGGTAGCTAAGTTGGCAGGTGCGCTAGAACCCAGGGTCGGCACCCCGTGCCTCTGCCAACCTCTGCCAGATCCGCCCCTCCCTATCCCTGTCTGGTGGATTTGTAACCACCTTTCAAGGTAAAGTCCTCGAAATGTCAGCTCTCTCTAAAGTCTTTCCCAGGCTCCAGGCAAAATCACTTCTCCCTTGTCGTGTGCATCAACAGCCCTTGGCGGCAATCTCTTCTAGAGCTGTCACGAAACAGCTGGCCAGGGAGACTCAGCTCCCTGAAGGTAGGGACTCACCAAATTCAAGGTGCCTGGCGCAGGCCTGCCATAATCCTACCTACTGAATGAATGAATGGGAAAAACTGAACAGAAGACTCTGATCGAGTTCTACCTTCTCATGAGAATCCCCGCGCTGGAAGTGACAGCTCCCTCCTCTGCATGGCAGGGCCCTCGCCCCCAACCACGGCGCTCCCGCCTTGAGGTATCCTTACCGCGGGAGCAGGGCATCTCTCCAAGGCTCTCTCTGGACTTCCAGAGGCACCAGACCTGCTGGGTGGCCTAGGTCCCCTCCCACTGCGCAGGGCCCCCAGGCAGCCTTCACCCACCCAGTTCTCGGTGGAGAAGAGGAGAGAAGGGCCGGCCCGAGTCTCACCGGTGCCAGCCTCGCGCTCTCGCAGGGTCTGGTCCACGTACAGCCGGGTCTTCCGGGGCACGCTGAGCTTCATGGACTGGGCTGGTGGGGGGCCTGCCTCACCGGCCCCCTCCACAAACACGGCTGTGCGCTTCAGGATCTTGATAATCAGGCCACCGCCTGGAGAAGGGGACAGAGGGAAGCATGCACTCTGCCCTCCCCAGGCGCCCTCCACATTCCCACTCTAGCCCCCCAAACCATCTGCCTGGTCTGTCCCCTTCACCCCAACTCTAAAGCCTTGCCAGGGCTGGCTCCCCTCACCTTTTGTGGTCATGATCAGGGTGTTGTCTTCCCGCCCATAGCGGCCAAAGCAAAGGCTGGTCACTGCATCCTGTGGTGGAGACACCAGAGTTGGGGAAAAATCTGAGGGAGGAAGGCAGGATGGGGGAGACGGTCGGGGAGATCCCAGATATAATAGGTCTAAGATGTGGGCAGTGGCCTGGGGGCAGCACTGCCTCTCAGCTGTTTCCTGGATTTCCCATCTCCCCTCCAACCTCAGCAGCATGGCCACAGTTTCCGGCTCCAAGTCACTGGGCTTGTGGGGAGAGCCTCCTACCAGCTCTCTTGGCTTCTAGTCTTTCTCCCAGTCTGCCCTTCACACCAGGTCTGTTCTTCGCTAAGGAACCTCCAGGGCTTCCGTCCTCCTTGTCAGGACACTGAGTCCCTCCACATCTGACTCCAGCCTGCCTTTTCTTTCTTTTTCATTGTGGTTTCAGTGAAAGTTTACACAGCAAATTAGGTTCCCATTGAACAATTTCTACACAATTTGTTCAGTGACACTGGTTATATTTTCCAGTGTCAGCTTTCTCATTATTTCCATTCTCATTGTTCTATTTCCAGTGATCCAGTCTCCCTGCCCCTTGCCTTCTCGTCTTTGCTTTAGAGTAAATGTTGACCGTTTGGTTTCATATAGATGACTTTTTAAAGGCGCACAGTACTCACGGGTGATACTGTTTATTTTATGAGCCAATCTGTTATTTAGCTAAAAGATGACCTCATGGAATAACCTCGGTTCAAGTTTTAAAGAGTATCTCAAAGCAATAGTCTCAGGGAGTTCTCCAGTCTCAAACGGTCCAGTAAGTCCGGACTTCTTAAGAATGTGAGTTCTGTTCTACATTTTGCTCCCATTCTATCAGGATCTATTGTGTCCCTGGTCAGAACAGTCGGTAGTGGTAGCTGGGCACCATCTAATTCTCCTGGTCTCAGAGTAGATGAGGTCATGATTCGTGTAGTCTGTTATTAGTCTTGTGAACTAGGTTCTTCTGAGTCTTTAGTTTCCTTCATTCTTTTACTCCAGACGCAGAGACCAACAGCTGTACCTTAGAGCCAGCCTGTCTTTTCTATCAGTTCATTCCTTCCCACCTTCCTCCCAACGCATACCCCACCCACCCTCCCAGCACACTATGGTCCCAACCAGCTGCTGTCACATTTTATACTGGGACACAGCACGCACACACACACACACGCACAGACGCACACGCACACGCACACGCACACACACACACACAGTTTCGCTGCATATACTGTGAATTCTCTATTTTTTAAAATGCTGTTGGTTGTGCCACACTAAATTGATTTAATGACTCACAACTTACAGTTTGAAAAACTCTGGTCCAAACTCATCAAACTACCTGGATTCCTGCAACAAGAACATTCATGCCTCTGTGCCCTTGTTCATGCTGTTCCCTGTCTGGAATGCTCTTCCTCCATTTTCCCACTTGGCAAACCAGTTAACTGTCACTTGCTGGTGACTCGTGTTCCAGGAATCCCAACCCCATTTGTCGCCTCACCCGCCACCACCCTCCGCAGTCACTCACTGCCCCTCCCTGCTCTCTCAGCACTTGGCTCTGCCCCAGCCTGCCTTGTATCTTAATGAGCTGTCTCTGGAAAGCAAGGGCTGAATCACTGCTTTATGCCACCCGGTACAGGGACTTGTGCCTATGAGCTCAAACGGTTTTTAAAGGCATCCAAAGTCAAGTGTAGGGGTGGGGTGGGGTCGGGAGAAGACTCAGAGGAGTCGTCACTGGCAGATGCCAGCATCGGGGCTCACCGGGGTGCGGACGATGTTCAGCAGGGCCTTGTCACGGTAGATGCGGACCTCGCCATTGGCCAGTCCAGCCATGACAGCCTGCAGGCCTCGGGAACGCTGCTCCAGGAGGTTCATGGTCAGAATGGCTGCAGGCATCTGCACTGTCCACAGCTTCTTGCCCTGCAAGGGGACAGCAGGCGTCTGCAGAGGGCTCAGGGCTCAGAGAGGAAAAAGGGTGAGTGGAGTTTCTAGGAAGGGGAAGTCAGAGGGGCTCTCTTGCTAAGGGGGCTGGGGAGACAGGCGAGGATGGGGCAGGAAGGGGGCATTTGCCCCGAGGCCACACCTTGTGGGTGAAGCCGTGCAGGCTGTCTTGGGTGCTGCCGACCACCAGGACCTTGTGTACCCGGACAAGCCCAACGGGCTGGGCGCTCAGCTCGATGCAGTACTTGGGGTGCTTGGAGTCTCTGTGGAGTAAAGACACCCCCTGCCAGCCCCAGAGAAACCCTCTCCTGGCTTCCCAGGCTGGCCCTCCCCTTCCCAAACCTCACAGAATATTCTGGGAGGAACCCTGGCGCAGAAGCTGATGGCCCCGGTATTACTTCCATCTCCTCACTTAGTAGCTGTGTGATCCTGGGTGACGGCAGGTTTATCTCCCTTCCCCGCCCCTCCTGCCTTTCAGTGGTGATCTGCATGCTAACCTTACATTCAACAGAGTTTTACAGTTAACCTGGGAGTCCCTGGGTGGTGCAAACAGTTAACATGCTTAACTGGTAACAGAAAGGTTGGAGGTTCTAGTCCAACCAGAGACAACTCAGAAGAAAGGCCTGGCCATCTACTGAAAAATCAGCCATTGAAAACCTTATGGAGTGCAGTTCTACTCTGACTCTCATGGGGTTGGCATGAATGGGACTTGGCTTGACAACAACTTTTTTTTTTAAGTGAGCTTACCTTAGACTAGACTAGCCAGTGCCAGCAGACCTAAGCAGGTTACCAATTTATCAAGAAAGGATGAAGACTTTGTCCTGTGTAAATGCACTGTTGCCAGTTTCCCAGCCACTGAGCCTTAGTTTCCCTGCTTACCAACCACAGATCTGGCTGACCCTCCTTCATCACCAAGTCAACAGCACATTCCATCTGGAATGACCGCAAACCTGTTGCTGTTGAGTCGATTCTGACTCATAGCGATCCTAAAGGACAGAGTAGAACTGCTCCATAGGGTTTCCAAGGAGCTGCTGGTGGATTTGAACTGCCAAACTTTTGGTTAGTAGCCGAACTCTTAACCACTGCATCACCAGGGCTCTGGAACAACTGCAAGAGCTCCAGCACCTGCTCTGGGCTCCCTTCCAAACTACCCTCCACACGGCAGAGTAATCTTGGAATGTATATGGATCATGTCCCTTCTCTGTTAAAACCTCATACTGGTTTTACACTGCACCTGGATCAAATCCAAGTTCTTTCCCATGTCCTGCATGGGCCGACCCTGGTCTCCACATCCTCCCTGCCCACCAGGCTCAAGTCACACAGGCCAGTGTCTTCCCACTTCGGGTTTCATAAGATCTCTTTGCCTACAAGACTCTCTCCCCCACTTTTAAAAAAATTTTATTTACTTTGTTGTCGTTGAGAATATACACAGCAAAACACATACCAACTCAACAGTTTCTACCTGTACAATCTAGTGACGTTGATTACATTCTTCCAGTTGTGCAACCATTCTCACCCTCATTAACATAAACTCAATGCCCGCTAACGTTCCTAGCTGATCTTTTGAGTTGCTGTTGTCAATTTGATCCCATATAGATAGTTCTTAAAAAAGCATAATGCTCATGGCAGACCTTTTTTTTTTTACTAGTTAAGCTAAACTACTGTTTGATTTTAAGATGACTTCAGGGGATATTTTTGGTTTAGGGTTTAAAGATTATCTCAGGGCAATAGTTTCAAGGGGTCTCCTCCACTTTTTGAACAGCAGCTCCTTCTTAACCTTCAAGTCACCTCCACAGACTGGTGTTCCGTGATCACCTTCACCCCATTACCTACTCCCACTGAGCCTGTATTTTTCCTCCACAGCACACATCCAATATGCAATATGATCTTGGTTTGCTGACTTCAATATCTGCCTTTCCCATGAGGGCAGGGCCCATGTTGATTTTGTTCATCAGCAAATCCCCAATACCCTACTGCACAGTGTTTAATGCACAGGAGGCATTCAATAAATATTTTTGGAATTTAAAAATGAGTGTGATAAGCAAATATTGTATAAGACCATTATTATAAGAACCCAAGAAAACGTTTAAACACACAAAAAAAATTCTTTGATGGTTACGAGGGTAGGCGGGGGGGGGGGGGGTTATTAACTAACTAGATAGTAGACCAGAATTATCTTAGGTGAAGGGAAGGACAACACATAATACAGGGGAAGTCAGCACCACTGAACTAAACCAAAAGCTAAGAAGTTTGCTGAACACAACCAAACACTTCGGGGGACAGAGTAGCTGGGGCAGGGGTCTGGCGACCATGGTTCCAGGGGACATCTAGGTTAACTGGCATATAACAAAGTCTATTAAGAAAATGTTCTGCATCCCACTTTGGTAAATGGCATCTGGGGTCTTAAAAGCTAGCCAGCAGACATCTGAGATGCATCACCTGGTCCCAACCCACCTGGAGCAAAGAAGAATGAACACCAAAGACACAAGGAAAATATTAGCCCAAGAAACAAAAGGGGCCACATAAACCAGAGACTCCATCAGCCTGAGACCAGAAGAACTAGATGGTGCTCGGCTACCACCAATGACTGCCCTGACAGGGAACGCAACAGACAGTCCCTGATGGAGCAGGAGAAAAGTTGGGTGCAGAACTCAAAATTCTAGTAAAAAGACCAGACTTAAAATGGTCTGAGACTGGAGGAACCCCAGAAGACATGGCCCCCAGATTCTCTGTTAACCCAGAACTAAAACCATTCCTGAAGCCAACTCTTCAGACAAAGAATAGACTGGACTATAAGATATAAAATGATATTCGTGAAGCGTGTGCTTTTTTAGTTCAGGTAGATAAACGAGACTAAATGGGCAGCTCCTGTCTGGAGGCGAGATGAGAAGGCAGAAAGGGATAGGAGTTGGTTGAATGGACGTGGGAAATAAGGGGTGGAAAGGAGGAACGTGTGGTCACATTGTAGGGATAGCAACTAGGGTCACATAATAATGTGTATATGTTTGTACGAGAAACTAACTTGAGCTGTAAACTTTCACCTAAAGCACAATAAAAAAACAAAACAAATGAAACAGTCTGGTTAGGAATATCAAACAAATGCATAAGGGAAGTGTCACATACATTATAAAGTGATATAACAAATACGGGAGATGATTTTCACCTCCTCCAGTTTCTGAGGGCATTGTTCATGGATTAGAGCCACCTAGCCTGGTATCCCACTTTGCTAGCCCCCCTCACATGAGCCTAGAGATATTCTCTATGCTTGTGGGCTCAGCCTCCTACATGAAGTTCTTAGCTCTTTCCATTCCCAAATTCCAGCCCGAACACATCCTGTTCATCTTGCAAGCCCCTGAAACCACCGGACTTCTGAGATGTTCCTTCAGCCCCAGAGGTCATAGATGTCACTACCTTAGCCCCTGAAACCACCACGTTTCTGAGATGTTCCTTCTGGCCCCAGAGGTCATGGATGTGGTGACCTTAGCCCCTGAAACCACCCAACTTCTGAGATGTTCCTTCATCCCCAGAGGTCACGGATATGGCTACCCTAGCCCCTGAAACCACCAGGTTTCTGAGATGTTCCTCCAGCCCCAGAGGTCATGGATGTGGCTACCTTCTCAGAATATAGATGTTGCCATTGCGGCAGGCAGCAGCAAGCCGGAACTCAACATCAAACTGGCCCGAAATCTCCAGGAACACAGGGACGCTGGGAAGGCTCATCTGCAAAAAAGAGGCTCCAACACCCTGATTTCTCTGGCGCCCCAATCCCTCCCTGCCCTGAAGCAACTCCTCTTAGTTAGTTCTTTGTCTAAAGTCCCCATCTCCTCACTCACACTCTCCTGTTCACAGTTTGAACTTGTACAATTTTTCTGGAGGGAACCTCAGCAACATGTAGCAAAAGCCTTATGCCGATACCCTTTGACTAAACTATGCCCCTTCTAGGAAGGTATCCTAAGGAAATATCTAGATCAGCATGCAGAGATGTCTGGGCAAGGAGGTCTGTCACAGTGGTGTTAATAATAGTGAAAGACTGAACACAACTTAAAGGCACGAGAGGTGACAGGGTACACAGTTATGGTACAACTTTGTAATGGCTATTGTGTGGCCTTTAAAAAGGTTGATGAGGTTTCATACAGCTATGGAGAGACATTGCTGGTATCTGCCAAGTGAACAGAGCAGGTTATACGATCCTGTTTTTGTAAAAATAAAGTTCTCCATCTGCGTCTAAAAGATGAAAATGTCTGGAAGGACATATGCCAAACTTTAACAGTGGACGTCGTAGGTGGGGACATTTTTGGGTGTTTTTCCTTTATGTTTATCTACATTTCCTAATTTGTCTACCATGAATGTGTATTACCAAGAACTAACTGGGGGCAGGGGCTTGGCAGGGGGCATGCAGCTTGGGCCTTGGGTGTGGCCAGGACAAGGCCCCACACTGACCTTGGTCAAAACGGTGAAGGCCTCAGGGTCCAGCACCAGCAGCTCCTTGTTCTCGGTGCCCAGCACCAGGCAGGACATGGCGTCCTCATCAGCCAGGTTCTTCTTCAGGGTGGTCATGGTGGTGATGACCGTCTGCAGCAGGACCCAGGGATCACCCAGGGAACCCAGGCCTCCCCACCTGCCACCCCCCAGACACCACCACGATGCCACAGGAGGGAAGAAAGAAGGCAAAGGAGGAGGGAGAGGAAGCATCAGGGATGCAACGATTATATGCCAAGGTGTATATTGCAACAAACCTACATTTCTAACAAGAGAACTGCATAAGTCAGTTATGAACTACTTATATGATAAAAAACTCAGCCATTAAAAAATCACATTTTTTAGAAGAAGATTCAATGACATGGGGAATGCTTCTAATGTATTAAAACAAAAATAAGTGGGTAAAAGCAGTTATGTTAGTAGAATCGCAGTTTTAAAAATCTATGACTAGGGAAACATGCCGGAAAGCTAACCCTTAAACACAAACACTGGCTATCTCCAGAGAACGACATCACAGACGGTGCTGAATTTCTTCATTACGCTTTTCTATAGTTTCTACGGCGGGCACATGTTCCTTTTGTAACTGCCATTGCAGAGAAAACAAAAAAGAAGGGGATTTCTCTTATGGAAATAACTTAGCAGTGCCAAAAGGTTTTTCGCTGAATAAAGCAGCTCATTGCGCGATTATCTTTAAGACTGAAAAACAGGAATCACCTTCAGTGCCCAGTGAAAAGGACAAAAGTCACAGAAACGTGGGCGTTGGTGATTCCCAGTCATGTGACCACAGTGCATGCTTGGAAAGATCACTCGTCTACCCTAGACTGCATCTTCTCAGCAATATTTAATTCATTTCCCTAGTTTTAAAGTTCTCAAAGATATCGGTAACTGCTGATCCAAGCTGATTATCAGTAGGAGAGGACAGTTTCTCACAGGATGGTCTAACGCAAGCTAAACGCCAAGGCCCAGGCTGGTCTGCTGGCTCCTGGGGCCTCCCACGGGAAGTGGATGGTCCCCGTGAGGCGTTCCAAAATTCAGGAAACAGCTCTGGAGTCACTCCTGCCCCTTGTTCCAAGGGTCAGTGCCCCTGGAGCCAGCAGAGTTCATCAGTGCATAGGTTCATCAATACAGCCACTAAAATTATGACTAAGGAAAACAGGAAGCGACAAGAAGGGAAACATTTCTTGTTCCGTGACCTAGATGTGAACGGTTGCAAAAACAAACGCTGTATATTCGGGCAGTGAAATAATCAAGGGACCATTAAAAATGCTTATTTTATGCTCAGCATATAATGTTGAGTACTCAAGGGAAGCAAGATATAACACATATTTAGGAAGACAATGTAGCAAAAAGTTAACAGTGGCTATCTCTGGGTAATAAGATTACACTGGTCTATATTTCTCTTTAAACTTTTTTTTATTTTCCAAATTTCCTATAATGAGAATGTGTTTATCTTTACCCTCAACAAAATAAAAGTTATATTCAAAAAGCCGTCACTGTTGACTGGAAACCTCAAAAGCGCTGCAGCTTTCTAACTACATACAGGAGTGTGGGCTGGAAAGGAAACTGCAAAGTGAAACTGGTTGAGTTTGGTGACAGAATAAGGTACAGTTCTCTTTACCGCTGACGTTAAATAGTCTTTAAAGTAACGCTGTTTTTTACACGGAAATAGAGAAGGGGCGGTACCTGCCGCTTGATGGCCTTGGACTTGTGCTGGTTCACAAACGCCTCCATCTCGCCCAGCTCCAGCTGCAGAAACCTGTTCACACAGAGGGCTGGCACCTGTACGTGGAGCCTGGCCGCCCTCCCACAGGCCGGCTCCAGCCATCCTCCCCCGCCCTTCCGGGGCTTCTGGGGCCCTGACCCTCCAAAGTCCCCTCACCTGAGTGACTGCACAGACAACGGCACCTCGGCCTTCTCCCTGCAAGGAGAGGGGCCGCCACAGCAGCTTTAGAAAGGAACAGGGTGCCGGGGACATACTGAGAAGCTTCCCCCAAGGAGAAGGCTGGAGTTTAGGACGAAGGAGCAGAGAGATGGGGTCTCAAGGGGAAGGTGGGCTCTCACCGGATCCCCTCCAGCATTTCCTTCAGCGTTAAAGGGTCAATCCGGTCCTGGGACAGCAGGGGAAGAAGGCAGAGCCCGTGAGCTCCGGCTAGGCGGGGAGCAAGGATGTCCACACCCTGGGGAGCTCCACACCCTGGGGAGCTCCATGCCCAGAGCACCTCTTCCCTCCACTTCCCTCCCAACTTGCCCCTCTGCACAGAGCCCCAAGTTCAAGCCCTTTACTTTAGTCTAGTCTTAGGGCCCACACATCACTACCTCCCAAAGGCTTCTCTCTGGCTGCTTCTGGTCCTCCCTCTTCTCTGGGGGCCCCCTGGCTTCTTTGATTTTACCTCCCCCAAGGGTGGGCAGGGGTGAGGCTAGTGCCGAGGGATCCTCTGGGGTCAGCTCTCCAAAAAACCTGACTGAATGCCCGCATGGGGCCACTGCTCAGGAGCCGAGCACAGTACCTTGCCCAGAAGTACCACCACTGCTGATGGGGAAGGTGGGCTGTGGCTGACCTCCTGCCAGGGGCCCACACGGAAGCCCAGCCCGACTCACCCAGCAGCTGCCACCTCTGCCTTCGTATTCTGTCCCCCACATCACTTACCTCCTTGGCCTGGTTCCAAACATCTTGTTCCAGAGGGTTTGGAGGCAACTGGGGTACGCTGAACTTGAAGTAGGGCCTAAGATTCTTATAGATGTAGACGCAAGGGCCTGAAGCGAGAGCCAGGGCTGGCGTCCGGGGCTCGTGCTGCTCCATGAGGAAGGTGGCAGCAGCGGCTGGCAGGGCAGGCAGGTGGCTCTCAGTCAGCACCACTGGCCCTTTGAGCACCTTCAGGCAGGGCTGCCGCCCACCTGGGCCAAGGTCCCCCACCGCCAGCTGCAAGTGCAGAAAAAGGCTCATCTCAGGCTCAACCCAAAGACCCTTCCGCTGGCCTTCTTTGTGGGCTGAGCCTTTCTGCTGTTGCACATTCATTCACTGCCACACCAGTGTACTACGGGAGTGGGGAGGAGACAAATGCTTTACATTCAGACCTACAAGCTGGGTGACCTGAGGAAAGCTGCTTAGTCTTTCTAAGCCTCAGTTTTCCCACCTTCAAAACGAGACTATCTACCTCATAACACTTGTGGCGAAAACCAAATGAGATAATATGCTCTTGAACCTAGCACTAGTGAGGAGTAAGTGACAGCTGTTGTTTCCATTATTCATTCCGCAAACATTTCTTCAGGGCCCGCTCTGTGCTGGGCGCTGTTCTGGGCACTGGCACAGCGGCGGAGGTCAGCTAGGGTAGCGGACTGGGCACCCATGTCTGGCTTCTGAGGCCCGGCTTCCAAATGAGGGCAGAGTAAAGGAGCAGACCGAGATGCAGAGCAGGCCCAGAGGGAGAACCCAGCTCCTCGGGCTCTCAGTTTTCCGCTTCCCAATCCCTCCTCCAAGCCGCCTGGGTGCCACGCAAGCCCACTCTCTTTGGTGAGTGCTCTAAGGCCCCTCGGGAGCTGGTCCCTGACTTCTTTCCCATCATCTTTCCATCCTGCTGTGCTCAGCCAGAATGGGGGCTGCCACAGCGGGGCTGTCCTCTGAGCATGCAGTGTGCCAGGTACCTCTCCAGGAACTTCACATGCATCCTTTCATTTAATCCTCCTAACCTTTAGACCGAAGAAGAATTGAGTCCTTTGAATTGTGGTGTTCGCAAAGAATACCGAATATACCATGGATTGCCACAAGAATGTACAAATCTGTCTTGGAAGAAGTACAGCCAGAATGCTCCTTAGAAGCAAGGATGGAGAGACTCTGTCTTACATACTTTCAACATGTTATCAGGAGGGATCAGTCCCTGGAGAAGGACATCATGCTTGGTAGAGGGTCAGAAAAAAAGAGGGAGACCCTCAACGAGATGGATTGACACAGTGGCTACAACAATGGGCTCAAGCACAACGATTGTGAGGTTGGAGCAGGACTGGGCAGTGTTTCATTCTGTTGTACACAGGGTCACTATAAGTCGGAACCGACTCGATGGCACCCAACAACAACCACCTTCTGGTTAGCAATTGAGCTCTTAACCACTGCGCCACCAGGGCTCCAACAGCATTATTATGTAGGTACAATTATTAGCCCTATTTCACAAATGAGGAAGCTGTGGCTCAGAGAGGTTAAGTAAATGGCCCAAAGTCACACAGCTAGTAAGTGTAAGACCAGAAGACAGGATTGTCTGAATCCAAAGCCAGGGCTCTTAATTACCACTGTATATGAACCTCAACTTCCTAACCCAAAATCTACTCTTCCCTAAACATGCCATGAACTTCCAAGCCTCTGTGCCTCTGCTCCTGCTGTTTCCCCATCCTCCCTCCCTTGTCCTCTTTATACACGTCATTCCTTCAACGCCCAGCTCACGTTATGGCCTCCTGGTGCCTCAAGACGGAATTCTCTCACTGGTGCTTCCACCGCACTTTCTTCATAATCTCTTTAAGCACCCACTCATTTACCCCACAAACAGTTATCGAGTACCTCCTTTGTGCCACGCACTGGGCTGGCTGCTGGGAATCAGTAGTGAACAAGCTAGCCATTAAACAAGTTATTACACAAAGGCATTTACCATTTCACAGTCGTTACTGCGTCTGTGATTTCCCCACCCCTTACTGCTATAAACCCAGTGAGAAGCACACACTAGTCGTTCAGTCAATATCACGAATCAATGAAGCGTCCACATCTCCTCCCCACTACGTGCTGATTCATTTCTGAGCTTAGTGTCTGCACGATGCCTGACACGCAGTAGGGACTCACGGATGCTTGCCAAACTGCCGAGTGCTTTAAGGATGGGAATTTGGGAGTGAAAGGCACCACTGCACCTTCCGTAGGGGCATGACTCCAGGGCTATCTTCTAGCCACCCACATGATACTCCCACTGTGGAATCATTGCCCGTGGTGAGGGCTGAGCTACAGTGGAACAAGCATATGGCTTGGAATCTGACAGACCCAGCTCTGCCACTTCCAAACTCAGTAACCTTAAAGCAAATTACTCAGCCTCAGTAAATCTATTTTCCCAGTAATAAAATTGGGATACATAATATCTATCGATGTAAAAGTGCCTCACAGAGGGTTTAGTCCAGAAATGGATGCTCAATACACGTTAATTTCCTTTCTCTTAGCCCAGTCTATTTCCCAATCTCTTAGAACTCCATGCCTGTTTTTTCTCTTTAAATCAAATTAAATTTAACCTTTTTATTATAGACAAATTTCAATCATAGAGAGACTCATATAATGAGCCCCCATATGCCCATCAACCAGTTTCAGCATTATCAGCTCAAGGACAATCTTAAAATCTATGCCCAGCTTCCTCCCTTCTACTTTCCCTCCAGATTGTAACACCCTGCCCCCAACCAAGCAAAGAATCATGTCACCTTAACTAGTTAAGAAGCTTTGTCTTAGTAGAATCTCCAGCAGCATTTTGTTGTGCTTTGCTTTCTGAAGTTTGTATTATGACATCACCTTCCACATGAAAATAAAACTTAACACTAATTGTGCTTTTTCACAGTCCACGTGAATTCCAGATTAGGCTGAGCCTCTTTGGAGCCATCAGGAAATCTCACTTCTGGGTATTTTCTCATTCTCACCCCCCCCAACCCCAAATCTCTCTCTGCTGGGGTGATATACTTACCTTGTACTCCCCGTCCCCATGCAAATCTGCCAGCGCTGGAAAACACAAAAGGGCCATAAACCAGGGTGCTGGGTGCTGGAGGCCACAACATCAGCGCTCAGAGCCCCAAGGCTTTACTAAGGGACCATCATCTGAACCCGTCCCCCTGCTCCCCAGAACCCGGGCTTTCTAGTTCCAGAGACTCACCCAGGCAGGCCGAAAATGTGTGGATGTTGGCCATGGGGTCGTAGTGCGCGTCCAGCCATTTCGAATTGGCCTCACTGCTGGGAGTGGGGTGAGAGAGTTGGGAAGCGAGTCCCATGGGAGGGGAGGACAACTTTGAGGGCGCTGGTCTCTGAGAGAGGGGTGTGCAGGGAGCGCTGAACTAGGGGTACAAACGCCGTGGTCCAAGTCCGCCACTGAGGCACCGAATGACCTCAAGCCACACACACGCACTCCTTGGGTCTCAGTTTCCCTATCTGCTAACAGCCCCTCAAGAACCATTAGCGCTGCCCGAAAACCGCAGGAACCCAGATCGCGGGGACCGTGGCACCCTCTTTACATCTGCGGGAAAGGAGGCTTTGAAGGTCCCGGCCTTTACCTCTCAGCTCCGCAGCTGTTGGAATCCGAGGAAGACGCAGCAGCCATCTTGGCAGGCGTCGCCCTGGCAACCGGCTCCTCCCCCGCCGTCGCGCAACGCCCAATCGCGCCCGGGCGCGGCGAGGCGCACGTATGAAGGTTCTGGGCGCCGAGCTTTCCGGGCCGGGCCCTCGTGCAGGAGGCGCCGGTTATCTTTGCACCTTTAGCCAGGATTCCAGGTGCAATCCTTCACCCAAGCTCATCTGATTTATTTTTGCTCCTTGCCAGCGGGAGACCTCAGGCGTATATGAACAGAACTAATTCCTCTTCTCTTCATCGTCGTAGTCAACCGGGTCGAAAAGGCGCCACGTTCTTTTCTTCCTACCTTACTCAACTGCTCCAGGGGCAGGGAAATGAAGCACAAGAATTAACGGGCAATGCAGAGATTAAACCCTAAAATTCTGACTGAAATCAAGGGTTTCCTTTTTTTTGGCCCCTGGAGTATTTTAAAAATGCAAGGAGTATCAAAGGAGGACTGCAAAAATCGTGCTATGTCCGTCTCTGCGACTATGTGTGTATCCATTACTTGGAAGGATGTCCAAGTCCGGTGGTGAATAAAAAACAAACCCGTTGCCATGGAGTTGATTCCGACTCATAGCGACCCTGCAGGGCAGAGAGTGGTGAATAGGAGGCTAAAAATGACCCGGTCTCCTCCCTGAAGGAGCCCTGGTGTCGCAATGGTTAATGCATTCGGCTGCTAACCAAAGGGTCAGCAGTTCGAAGCCACCAGCTGCTCCGCAGGAGAAAGATGTGGCAGTCTGCTTCCATAAAGATTAGCCTTGGAAACCCTGTGGGGCAGTTCTACTGTCCTATAGGGTCATTATGGGTCAGAATCGACTTTGATGGCAACGTTTGGTTTGATAATTGTCACCTCCCTAGTCCCTGAGTAGTGCAATGCTTAAGCACATGGCTACTGACTGAAAGGCTCGTGGTTTGAACTCACCTAGAGGCGCTTCAGAAGAAAGGCCTGGCAATCTGCTCCCAAAGCCATGAAAATCCCATAGAGCACAGTTCTACTCTGCAACGCATGGGGTCGCCATCAGTTGGAACTGACTCCTGCGCAACTAGTTTGGTTTTTGGTTCTGTCCTTTCCCCAGGCCTTAATTCTACCACCCTCTCGAGAACAGATGAGAAGACAGGCAAGGTGGAACAGCACACATGGCAAAGATGGTGGTTATTTCTAATATTTATTTTTCTGGCTATAAATGTAATACAGGAAGAGCATCGGATTTGGCGAGAAGGTTTTGAGTCCTGGCTCTGTCACATACCACCTGCAGGATCTAGACAAGTCACTTCTCAGAACTTCCATTTCATCTGGAAAACAGGACAAGTAGCCCTGTCTTGCCCACTCCCTGGCTGGCAGTGCTGAACATCACAGAGGGGAAGCACTTGGTAAACTGGGAAGTGCTGACAAATGGAAGGGCTTAGGGTCACCACCCTCAATCGAGGTAGCACCAAGGTCTGAACTCCTGCCCCACCCCCAGCGCCTCAAAATACACACACAAAAGGAGGGCCACTGCAGCCTTGGCTTGATGGAGTTGCGGGCAGGCCCACACAAATCTTCCTCAAGCCTGGCCAGCTGGGACCTCAGTGGGGCCCTTCCAGAATCGGGCATCGGCCGTGGCCAGCTGGATGAGGATCTCCTCCAACTCAGGCCCATCCTCGGGGAAGCGCTCGGAGAAGGATCGGATGAGGCCAGCAGCCGAGGCCTCGTACTCCAGGAGCTGCACCTCTGAGCCTGCGGAGGAGAAGGAGGAAAAAGAGCAGCAGAGAGAGGTCTGAATAGAGAAGTGGAATAACAGCAATCATAGGGGCAGCTAGCTGTGACTGAGGTCGTATTTCCCATGTGCCAAAAATTGTGCCTAATGTTTTAGATTCATTATCTCATTTAATCCTCACAACAGTCCTCTGAGGAAGGAACTATTAAAGAAGAGTGGTAAGTTGCTACTTTCATTCATTCATCTTTTTGCTTAATAAAGATTTATTGTGCAAGAGCACGTACCAAATGCACACTAGGCGAAATCAGACACAGTCCTTGGCCTCCTGGTGCTTACGGTCCAGCAGTAGCTTCATCTCTGTTTACTGTGGGACCTTGGGCAAGGGTCTCAACCTCTCTAAGCCACAGTTTCCTCACCTGTACAGTGGGGATAAACGCAGTACCTCCTCTCTCAAGGTGTTCTGATGATCATTAAATACCATAATGCCTCCACTGTTCTCCCCACTCACAGCGCCTGGCCGTGCTCTGTGGCATTGTGTACAGTTGCTAAGAGCACAAGATCCAGGTACAGAGGGCCCGAGTTCAAATCCTGGCTCTGCCACCTGCTGGCTGTGTGATCTCAGGTAAATATACAGCCCCTCTGGAAAATGGGGATAATCATCTCACCTTCCTTACTAGGTTGTTAGGAGTTAATCAATGGAAAGTTTTTACCCAGTGCCTGGCATATGGGAGTCCTCAGAAGTCAGCCATCATCATCATCATCATCACTACTACCTTGGAAAATCCAACCCACTCTTCAGGCCCAGTTTAACTACCACTTCCTTCCCAGAACCTTCCATGATCCCCTCAAAGGTAGATGTGGCCTTCTCCCCTAAGTGTCTGCCCCTCTGGGGCACTCACTGAGGCCTCCCTTGTATTACCATTCAGCCTCATGTCCTATCATTCCTAACGTGCTAAGAACAACTTGAGGGCCAGGCCTGGGTCCATTCACCTCTCGGTCCCCCGTGGCTCACACAGGGCTAGACATATCCTAATGACAACACTTCCCACGGATCGAGCATTTACCCTGCGCTGACACAATTCATTCCTTCATGCACTCGACACTGAGCAGCTCCTGGGTGCCAGGCCCTGGACTAGGTGCTAGGGGTTCGCTGTTCCTGCTCTCATGGACACAAGACAGACAAGAAAAGGTGCCGGGACCCCAGAGGCTTTTAACACAAAACATTCAAGTGTGATGTAGACAGGGTCAGGGTTTTTTGAAACAGAATAATCACTGAGAAGGGAGAGGGACCAAGGGGCTGCTGATTTCCATCCTGGACTCCGCTGAGTTGCACTGTCCCCTGGTGTCCACTCGGCCTGCTGGGTCCCAACTCACTGCCTGACCTGACCTCGCTCCGGGGCATCTGATCCATCTGACTCTCGGGTACCACGGCCTGGCCTCCCTGGTTAGCCTGAAGTCCAGCTGCTCCCCTCACCCTGGTCTGCCGGCCCTCCTTCCTGAAACTTTCTGTTGCTGTCACACTCCCAGCGTGATCCTTGGTGCATGGTGGTGTTAGAGGTGGATGCCGAAGTTTTGGCCTGAGGTTTGGCATGGGGAGGATCACGGCAGGGAAGGAGGGAGGGAGGGAAAGGCCACTGCAGACAGCTTTACCAGAGCCCCCAGGAGGGTTCCAGAACTCCTTTGTGCTCCCATAAGGCCCTGCACGTCCCCCATCAAAGGGAGCTCAAAAGTCTGTTACCTTCAAGCCGAGTGTTGGGCTGAACGATGAGTTTCCGGGATTCCTTGCGCAGCAGCACCGTGTCCCTGAGGGTTAGGAAGCACTCGGGGGGCGCATCCGTGACGGCCGCGTACCCTTCGTACAAGAGCCGCCCTCCGGCCACATCCCCCGTGGACTTCAGCACCTGTGGGAGGGAAGGAAGGAAGTAGTGTCTATGATGGGTGCCCCACCCTGTACCCACAGGGCTCTGCCAGCAGCCACAGCTGATTGTGCCCAGCCCTGGACAGTTTGCAAAATGTTTATCTCTGCCACGTTCTGGCTGTGCAAGCTCAGACAAGTTACTAGATCACTCTGAGCTTATATCCCTAAATGAGAATAGTATCTCCTCTCTCATAGTGTTGCTGTGCTGAACAACTGAGAAATGCAGATTAACTGAATGACAAGAAGCTTCAATGAACATGGAAAAAATATACAGTGCCACTGTACCAAGAGAATTGGTCAATGTTGCTGTTTTAGCACATAGTAAAAAAAAACTATTGCCATTGAGTTGAGTCTGACTCATAGCGACCCTATAGGACAGAACTAGAACTAGGCTGTAATCTTTACAAAAGCAGACTGCCACATCTTTCTCCTGAGGAGTAGCTGGTGGGTTCAAACCACCGACCTTTTGCTTAGCAGCCAAGCACTTAACCACTGTGCCACCAGGGCTCCCTTAGCACAGAGTAAGTGCCTGTTAAATTGAAGCAAATATTTCCCACTTGATCTGTAAACAAAGCAGGCGTTATCATCACCCTCTTTATAACCACCACCCAACTTAAGAGTTAGCCCCATTGCCTGGCACCTCGATTGCACCTTCCTGCCTCTGCCATCAGAGGAAACCACCGTCCTCAATTCTTATCCCCCTGTATTCCCAGTTTTACTCTCAGAAATATATTAGTTAAGTTTTTGCCTCGTTTTGCACTTTATGTACCATGTGATTCACTTTTTCTGCTCAAGTTATGTCTGAGACTCATCTGTGTTAATGCACGCAGCTATAGTTCACCCTCTTCACGGCTGTGGAGTCTTCCACTTACAAACACATCACAGTCAATCTCTTCTATTGTTCATATGCAATTTGAATTTTTTGCTATTAGGTGCTGCTGTGCACATCCTTGTATGTCTTCTGATGAACGGATGCAGGTTTCTCAGGAGAGCTGACGGTCTGTAGGTTATGCGAACGTTCAGTGTTAAAGAGATGATGCCAACGTTGTCTCCCAAAGTTAATGCACCAATTTACACTCATTGCTCAATACACAAGGCTGTTGTTGGCAGTTATTAATTTCTGCCAAGCCGGAGAGGGGGGTGTACATTGTATCGCATGTGGTTTAAGCTGCAATTCCCTAACTGCTAATGAGCGTGCACATTTCCCATAAGGAGGTGGTCTCTGTTTTCCTCTTGTGTTCATGATGTCCGCTTATTTTTTGGTTGGGTTATCTCCTCCCGCCCCTCACCCTTCTCCTCTTCCTCTTCCCTCTCCCCATTCAAAGCTCAGTTACAATTCACTGTTGGCGCGCCAATTGGCAGATTTGATTCCTCCATCTAATGATTTATTATTATTATTATTATTATGAATGTTTTTATTTGGGAATCATTTTAAATATTCAGAAAACTTGCAAAGATGGTACAGAAATGTACCCCTCACAGTTTCCCCTGTTGTTAACATCTTACATACTGGTACATTCCTGTTAACTCTAGACTTCATTTTGACAATGTTCCCCTGCTATTCATAAGGTTTTCACTGGCGAATTTTTTCAGAAGTAGGTGCATTGCATTGGGCAAATCTGCTGCAAAAGTGTCACTATAAGGGCTTAGGTGCACCTGACCCAATCCATGGTGTTTTCAATAGCCTCATACGAATAAGAAAGCTGGACAAGAATAAGGAAGACCAAAGAAGAATTGATGCCTTTGAATTATGGTGTTGGCGAAGAACATTAATATACCATGAACTTCTGGAAGAACAAACAAATCTGTCTTGGAAGAAGTACAGCCAGAGTGTTCCTTAGAAGCAAGGGTGGATAGACTTCATCTCACATACTTTGGATGTGTTATCATGAGGGATCAATCCCTGCAGAAGGACATCATGCTTTGTAAAGTAGAGGGTCAGCAAAAAAGAGGAAGACCCTCAACAAGATGTACTGACACAGTGGCTCCAACAATGGGCTCAAGCATAACAACTATTATGAGGATGGTGCAGGACCAGGGTTTCATTCTGTTGTACATAGGGTTGCAACGAGTCAGAACTAACTCGATGGCACCCAACAACAATGCCAAAACTTTATTTAGGAACCCCAGTGGCCTAACGGTTAAGCGTTCAGCTGCTAACAGAAAGGCTGACGGTTCGAACCTACCCAGTGGCTCCATGAAAGAAAGACATGGCAATCTGCTCCCATAAAGATTACAGCCAAGAAAACCCTATGGGGGCAGTTCTGCTCTGTCACATTGGTCACTAGGAGTTGAAAATCGACTCAATGGCACCTAACAACAACAACAGACGTTACTTAGAGTCCACGAGTCTGTCCACTAATGTCTTTTTTCTATTCCAGGATCCCATCCAAGACACCACATTGTGTTTTGCAGTTGATGGTATTTAATTTCTAACTTTATTTTACGTTAATGGCCAAACACCTATTTTTAAATGGGAAATGCCTCATCCCTTTTTGGAAACGGGAGTGTAGACATAAAGAGGTATCTGCTGTATTGAAGGCTGGGCTTCCACAGGTGGAAAGAGCCAGCAGGTCTTGTTCCCAGGGAAGGTACTGCTCACTCAAGGGTGGTGTGCCAGCGGTTCTCAAACTGTGCTGAGCATCTGAATCACCTGCAGAGCTAGTAAACATGGGGATGCCTGGGCCCCACCCCCAGAGATTCTGATTCAGCAGGTCTGGGGTGGGGCCCGAGAACCAGCATTTCTAACGTGTTTCCTCGGTGACACTGTGGCTGCTGTTTGTGGACCACAGTCTGTGCAGCACTGGCTTTGCTAACAAAAACAGAACACAGAGTCGATTTCCCACGTGTGTCAGGGTAGAACTGTGCTCCACAGGGTTTTCAATGGCTGTGACCTTTTGGAAGTAGAACACCAGGCCTTTCTTCCAAGGTGCCTCTGGGTAGATTCCAACCAAGCCGAGCAGTTAGTAGCTAGCTGAGTGCTTAACTGCTTTCACCGCCGCGGCCTCCTGACTTAGATAACAGGACGTTCTAGCTGTGCTTTCACCGCCGCGGCCTCCTGACTTAGATAACAGGACGTTCTAGCTGTGCGGTGCCTTACGGTGTTTCATTTAACCCTTACGTTGTTGTTTCCTTTCCCCTTACAATGTGAGAGGCGTTGTATCCCGTTTGACAGAGGAGAAAAGTGAAGCCACAGAGGCAAAATGTGTTTTCCCAGTCACAGTTGGTGAGTATTGGCCCCAGAACCCCAAAAGGTCTCTGACTCTTAAGCATTTCTACCTAGGCAGGGAGCCACAGCCCACCACCGGCTTCTGAGGGCTCCGACAGCAGCCAGCTTGGTGAGCAGGCACCAGGGCTGCGCCCACCATCCTCTCCCGCCATCACTCACCAAGCTCCAGGCCTCCTGTCTGCCCCTCAGCCCAGCGAGCGCCCTGTGGTCTCAGGGCCTTTGCGCTCAGTTCAAACGTCACCTCCTCCAAGCCTTCCCTGATTACCCAGGCAAAGGGGGCCCTGAGTTCCTTTCCCCGCTGATCACACTCACTGTCACATCACCCAGTTTTATTGTCCTTACAGCTCATCATAATCAGATGTTATCTTGTTCACTTATTCTACCTTCCCTCACAGCACTGTGAGCCCAAGAGAGCTGACTGCTCACAGCTTCCTCTCAGTGACCAGCACATAGTAACACTCAGATACAGTCTGAATGAATGATCAGATATAGATTAAACAAATGATCGCCATACAGTCTGAATGAATGATTGGCATACAGATTGATCAGCATATAGTCTGAGTGAATGATCAGATATAGACTGAATAAGTGATTGGCATACAGCCTAAATGAATGATCGGCATACAGACTGAATGAATGATCAGCATACAGTGTGAATGAATGATCAGCATAGAGTCTGAATAAGTGATCAGCACACAGACCAAATGAGTGATTGGCACACAGACTGAAAGAGTTGATCAGGAGGCTCTGAGGTGTTACAGGGTGAGCAGCCAGGGGCAGTGGGGGACCTCCAAGGTGAGAGGGCTTGCTTACCTGGAGTTTCCGCAGGAACCGCTCCAGGGCAGGTTTGCCTACGGAACGGATCTTGCTTCGGTCAAGGCGGACCCGGGCATCCGGGCGCCCGTCGGAGCCTGTGGTGGCAGTGACGGTAACAAGCCCCTCGCCAGCCTCCAGCAAGACCTTCAGGATCACAAACCGGGCCTGCATGTGGGCCTGCAGAGACCGGGGGAGAGGAGATATTGGCAGCCCTGAGTGCCTGGTCCAAGGCCTGACAGACAGTATGTGTTCATTACTCATCAATCATTATCATTTTATTTCCCCCTCTCAGAGGGTCCTTTTCTGCCTTTTCCTCTCACCAGGGAGGGCAGGCTGCCCTGGGGACAAAGAGGCCATTTCCAGGTGGGGTGCTCCCTGGTCACCCACCGTGCCCTCTGTAGCTCCAGGTCATCTGTGATGACAGCAGTCGCCTCCAAGGGCTCCTTGCTGCCAGGACCCCAAGCATCTTCTCCTCCAGTCTTGACTGAGCTCAACAGTGGGACCAAGTAGGCATCGTTGTGCCCAGGTTATAGATGACAAAACAGAGGCCCAGAGAGGTGAGAGCAGGACTCAGACCTAAGACGTGTGCTCTTTTGATTTTTTGTTCTTTTGAATTTCTATTGCTTACCCTGTGTCCACAGCACTGTCCCAGGTATCCTAACTGGATGGTCTAGCCTGGTGGTGAGGACAGGACTCCAGGGCAGAACACTTGGGTTCAGTCCCCACTCTGCCTCACACCAGCAAGTGACTCAATCTCTTTGTGCCTCAATTTCCTCATCTCTAAGATGGGAGTAACAGGAGTACCTACCTCCTGGGGTTAATACTGGGAACAAGTGAGTTAATTCATGTCACATGCTTAGAACTGCGTGGCACATGGTAAGCCTTTGTAAGTCAGCTGTTATTCCAGTCGTCGAGTTGACTCTGACTCATGGCGACCTCACGTGTGTCAGAGCAGAACTGTGCTCCATAGAGTTTTCAATGGCTGATTTTTCTGAAGTAGACCACCAGGCCTTTCATCCGAGGTACCTCTGGGTGAACTTGAACCACCAACTTTTCGGTTAGCAGCCAAGTACTTAACTGTTTGTGCCACCCAGGCCAAGTTAGCTATTATTTAAAGAAGAAAAACCAAACCCACTGCTGTCAAGTCGATTCCAACTCATAGCGACCCTAAAGGACAGAGTAGAACTGCCCATAGAGTTTCCAAGGCTATAAATCTTTAGAGAAGCAGATTGTCACATCTTTCTCTCATGGAGTGGGCTGGTGGGTTTGAACTGCTGACTTTTCAATTAGGAACCAAGTACTTAACCACTGCACCACGAGGGCTCCTCCTAGATATTATTGTTGTAGTAAAACCATCTCATCAGATTCACCCTGAAAGGTACGCAGGGGGAGACATTATCATTTCCATTCCCAGGGACACAAAGGCTCAGGACAGTGATGCAACCGCCCTATAAGCAGTGGACTCGGGTTACACTCACTCTTCTACCTCAGAGGAACAGCTGTCCCATCCCTGTACCTAGAATCCTGGCCTTGGCACCCCTCTGCAGGCTCCCTCTTCACTCCCAAGAACCACCCCGGTCCTACCTGTCTCCAGCTGGAAGCCTCCGGGGTGTAGAACTCCAGAGCCAGCAGCCCGGCCCGAACCATGTTGAGCCAGTTCACATAGATCACGTCTTCTGCATCAGCCCCCTCGAAGCCAAAGATCCTGGAAGGGTGAGGGTGGCAGGGAAATCGGAGGCTGCTGCAGCCCTGCTCTCCTGCCAGCACCCCTCCACCCAGCGCTGGCCACTGCTTGGCCGCCAGCCCAGCCTCCACGTCCCCCCACGTACTCCAGCACTTGGGGGTTGAGGCAGAGGTAGAGGCCCACGCTCTCGGCCCGGCACTCTTCATAGCTGGAGGCAATGGTGCTGAACTTGCTGTCCCACGTCTCCCCGCTCCGGTACCAGCTCTGGATCTGGGAGGGGAGGCCCCCGCAGCTGCTTAGGGGAGGCGGCCACCCCATTCATGCCCTCCTCTGGCACCCCGGGCCTCTCGCTCACCTGCTCCCCAGTCTCTGGGTTGATCACAGTCTCCTGGTCAAAGTTGAATGCTCCTTTCTCATCCTGCAGGAGAAGGGTCATGAACGCGGGACCAGTGAGGGAAAGGTGCCCCTGCCCCACCCAGGCCTTCAGCCCCGGAATCCAAGGGCCTGAGGAGTGGCTAGAAAGGTGAGGGAACAGCGGGCCAACGGCAGGAGCAGCAGGTGCACTGACACACTCGGTGCCTCTGACGTTCAGAATTGTGACATGGGCTGCCTTCTCAGAGCCCCCGGGCAGTGGAGAACCAGAGCCACCTACCCCACTGCACAGAGAAGGAAATGGAGGCCCAGACATGGGAGGGACTTGCCCAAAGTCACATAGAGATTCAGTTCCAATGTCTCTGGACCTCAGTGAAGGTTGGGATGCCCCACTGGGTGTGCTTCCCTCCGAAGAATTTTCCATTGTTACCCCACTTTACAGATGAGGAAACTGATGCTCAGAGGCCAAGAGCCCCAAATCGGAACCAGAGCACACAACCGCCATGTACATCATCTCTTAGCAACACCTGTTTGCTAAGAGCCTACTGCGTGCCAGGCAAGCACTGGGGCTCCCTGTGCATCTTCCCTTTCATTCCGCACGACAGTCCAAGCAGTAGTGGTCAGGAACCCCATCTTACAGATGGGCCAACTGAGGCTCCGTAAGCGAGCTGACTTATCCAAGGCCATACAGCAGCCACATCTGTCCCCACTTCCCTCTGACTTCAGAGCCTGGACAAAGCACTACACCAGCCTGTGGCCCCTGTCACCAACCTCTGAGTCCTTCTGTCCCCCGAGGCCCAGTTCCAGCCCTTCCCCCTCCAGGTAGGCAGCCCCAACCCAGAACCTGTCTCGCTGGGGGTCCTCGCCCCATGCCTGCGTCCTCATCTCATCTGCGCAGCTCTGGGCTGGGGTCCATAACACACTGTTCTCAGCCTGTCTTTTTCCTGTTCCCTGAGTGGGGCCCAGGGGGGCTCCAGCCAGTTTGGCCAGCTGGCAGGAAGGGGCTGCTCTGGGGAGGAGGGAGCTCCCTGTGACAGCTGGAAAGGTAGAGGCTCCAGGGAACAGCAGGGTGAGGACGGCAGTGCCACAGCCTGAGGACGGGGCTCTGGGGCTGTCCAGGCCCACACCCTCAGGGCCTTATGGGGCAGCTCCTCAGCCTGAGCCAATTTCTGCTGGTGAGATGACTGTGTGGTGGGGGACAGCAGCTGGGCCTGTCCTGGAGACCCCTCGGCACCCACTCAGTCCTGAGCTCCTGAGACATCTTGGGGGAGGATGAGACAGGGTCTTCCGTGCTTATGGGGCCATTCCCCAACCCGACCCGGAGAGAGGAGCTGGGGCCTAGGCACCTGGGCTGGCAGCCGTGTTCTTACCTGCACAAAGAGCTTGCCGCTGCCGTGGCCCAGCAGCTCGTGCAGCCCCACCTGCACGTCGAAAGAGGGCCCCTTCCAGCGGATGTACAGGTCCTGCCAAGACAAGCAGAGAACCACTGTCTTCCATCCTGCCACAGCCACGCAGCCCCCCAACGCCCCCTCCCCAGGCACATGACTGATTGAGGCCAGCTGCCCACCAGGCTCATGCTGGGCACTGCACAGCCACCTCATCCTGGCAATGAGGATGCCTCTATGTTTGACAGATGGGGACATTGAGGCTCTGAGGCTGCACAGCCACCCAGCCGGAAAGCAGCAGAGCCAGCGCAGGAAGCTGTGCTCTTTCTGCTCCAGGGGGCTGGCGGCCTTCCCGGGCCAGCGGCCGGTGCCCACCTTGTCGTCCTCCTCCAGGAAGGTGAGCTTCTCCCGCTGCGTGGCATAGGCCACAGCCAGCACGTTCCCCAATGACACGTTCTTAAAGCCTTCCGTTTGCCTCAGGTCATCGTCTGGGGGAGAAGAGGGGCAGGGAGAAGGAGCAAAGGTCAGGGGTCACAGAAGGAATCCAAATGAGAGGAACAAGGCTAGGATGGTGACGTGAGCAAGGCAGTCGGTAGTCAGGGGGGCATCGGGGAGGGACAGGTTCTAAATGGAGGCTCCTGGGGGGCCGGGGTGGGGGCAGGCTTGAGGAAGCTCACAGTTGGGGATATTGATGCCAGCGGGGATGCCGGAGCCTGCGAAGGTGAGGACATCCAGGGAGGTGAAGTCGGGGGTGAGGAACTTGTCCTTCTCGAAGGCTGGGGGCCAGGGGAGCTCCTTTAGCAGCTGTTCCGCACTCTCCACCAGCCACTTGAACTTGGCACTCATGGCCTTGTTGACCATGGCCACGAAACCTGCAGGGGAGGGCGACCGTGGGTGGCAGGTTCTGGGTGGGAGTCCACTGTCCCCTACCCATCCCTGCTACCCAGCCAGCCAGCCAGCGTGCATATACTGAGTGCCTGCTGTAAGCTGGCTGCTGGGGAGGGCAGTGACCCAGGCCTGGGCCCGCCTTTACGGAGGTCAAAGACCGGCAGACAAGGTAGGAGTCAAATGACCATCTGGTTGGGGGGGATGGGGGCATGGAGAGGCTTCGCTGGGCAACTCTGGATCTTAAGGGAGTGGGTGGGGAGCATATGGGGGTGTGGAAGAAAGGCTTGGCAATCTACTTCCGAAAAATCAGGCACTGAAAACCCTATGAAGCACAGTTCTCTGACACACATGTGGTCGCCATGAGTCAGAGTCGACTGGACGGCAACCAGTATGCAGAGGGTATTGGTGGAAGGACTAGATTCCATGTGGAAGGGACTCCCTGAGCAAAGCAGAACTGTAAGATGTCCTGTATGCCTGGGGCAAGTGAGGGTGGTACAGGAGGGTGTGACTGATCGTTTAAGATTCACTGTAGAGTTCCTGGCTCAAAGCAGTATTTCCAAAATTGTACTCTATGGAAGACATTTTCTATGAGATCCTTCATAAAGAAAGAGTTCCCTGGTCAAATAAGTTTGGATACCACTACACTCTCTCTCTGCAACTTCTAGGAGATTCCCAATACACATTAGCACATTAAAGACACATAGAAGTCCTACAGGCAAGAGTCTTTGCTGCTTATCACAGAACCCACCGCAATGTAATTCCTATTAACACTATGTGGGATCAATTGGATTTGGGTTATTAAAAAGAGCATGGTAGGCCTGTATGTACTGATATGAAAAGATATCCAAGATATATTGTTAAGTGAACAAAGCAAGTAGCAGAGTAATATAAAGAGTATGAACTCATTTACCTGGATGAATTAAAAGTAATCTCTGGGTATCAATGCTTAGAACAATGCTGGAAGGCCACGGGCTCAACTGTTAACTGCAGTGACCTCTGGGAAGGGGAGTGAGGTGGGGAGGGCAAAAAAGGGGCATTTCACTTTTTATCCTCCATATATCTGTATTGTTCCAATTACTTACAACAAATGTAGACTTTTAAAAAAATTATATGTATTTTTAAACATTTATTGTTCTGTATATAAAAAGACAAAATATACACTCCAAATACAACCTTGGGGTATAATCACTATTCATTTCTTTTGTCTGTATTTTCATAATTTTTGATCATGAACATGAAATACTGTTCCAGTAATCATGAGTTTATTTTAAAAGCGGGGGCAGAGAGGGGGTCTTTGCAGCTGTGGCCTCTGAGATTGAGGCTGGGCTGTTGCCCATGCAACCCTGGTGGCTCTGGGGTCTCAGCCATCAGCTGGCCCAGCCCAGCCACCGCAGGAAAGCTGAAGGTGTGTGACCTTGTCTCCTACCAGGCCCCTAGGGATCTATGGGCCCAGATCACAGCCCTTGGGGGCTGCTGGAACTTTCCTCCCTTCTCCAGGCTCATCTCTCTGGCTTCTGGCAATTGGATGCTCCAGGGTCTACATCCAGGGTCTGGGGAAGGGGAACGGCTGGCAGAGACAAGTCTATACTCTCAAGGTGGGTGCCCTGCCTTGCACAGGTGGGTGCCGTAGGGGCATGGGGGTGAGGCAGCCCGCCACCAGCCCTGGGATGAGAGTCCGTTCACAAGTATAATGTTAACCCTTGCAGCAGCTCACTCGCTGAGTGCCTTATATGTGCCTGGCATTGTGCTAAGCAGTTTGCACGTTATCTCATTCCCATGACAACCGAAAGGGAGTAACTGATGCTCAGAGGTTGGGCTAATTGGCCCAAGGTCAGGGAGCCAGTGAATGGCAAAGCTGGGCCTGGAATACTCGTCTGTCCGGCCCAGAGTCTGTACTCTGAGTGCAGAGAAGTGGTTCAGAGCCAGGGTGCCTGGGCTCAGCCACCCGCCACTGGGCCTCAGTTCCCACATCTGTAAAGTGGGGATAAAAATCCTCATAGGCTGATGACATCTAAATGAGTTAATAAAGGTAAACTTCGTACAACAGAGCCTGGTACGTGGTAACTAATCAATGCCGCAGAGGAGGGGAGGAGAAGGAGGACTTGAACCTGACCTCCCTTCACCCCCCAGAGGTTACCTTCAAACTCTCCACGGGAACCAAAGGGGTCACGGTAGCTCTCGATGAACCCGATGTAACTGGGGGAGAGAAGGCAGAGCTGGAGAAGAGAAGGGCAGGAAGGGATGGGGGCGGGGGTAAAGGTGAGGCCGTCCCACCTCTCCACGATGGGGCCTTTGTCCTGGATCCAGAAGCGGGAGCCCCTCTTGTGGGCCTCGATGGAGCCCTGGGTGAAGCTCTCCACGTACTGGGCCAGCATCTGCTCCTGGTGGCTGTTTGCTGCGTACGCCTGCGGGGAGCAGGGCTTGGTCATACTCCCCTCCATTGCCCAGTGGGGCCCCGAGCCCACACACCTGAGCGTGCCCTACCTTGGCTTTCTCCAGGTGCTCCACCACCTTGTGGAGAATGGGTGCGTAGTCCCCCCGGGTCACCTGGAAACAGCTCCCCTGGAATTCATAGGTCTTCAGCTTGGAAGTCACTTCAGAGTCCACAGCAGGCTCTGAGGAAACAGGGATTAGTCAGGGAAAGGCCAGTGTAAGACACCCCAGTAGCTTCTCACACGGCATTCTTTTACTCTGAGATCTCCTGTGGCTCCCCATTGCCCACAGAAATCAGTATAACCTCTCATCTTCAAATATATACATATCTCTCTCCATAATTATTCACCTAGAGCAAAAAGGAGTCAGGAATAGGAGGAGGAGAAAGAATGGGTGTCTAATTTCCTCCATGAAGAGCTGGCTCCTTTGCCACATTAATTAACTAATTTCTGTTGTTTTAAGCCACCTGGCTTGTGGTAGTTTGTTATGGCCGCCCAAGGAAACTGTTACAACCATCCTACCCTGGGCTTCTTAATTACACGAGCCTAGAAAGTCTCCTTTTGGCTTAAACAAGTTGAAATCAGTTTTTCCACTTGTAACCAAAGAGTTCTGAATGACAGCCCCTTTAGAAGTTGGATTTGGGGACTCCGAGAGACATTTAGAAAGGTCTCCCCAGCCTCTAAGACTGGAATATTCATCTCTTCCAGGAAGCCTTCCCTGATGGGCCAGTTTGATTTCTCCTCCAGGTGCCGCGGGACATCTGGTCCAGCCTCTATTCCCACTGTTGCCACGAGGGTTATCTTCTCTGCACTGCCAGGGCGTGAGGACCACCAGATATATGGCTCCCACCAGGGGCTGGTGGCAACATCAGTCACTTCGTGGAGCAGAACTCCTCCCCCTCCACTCGGGTCTTCCCCTATATCTTTACTGTTATTCCAGTGCTGGGGATGAGCAAGATTATGGCCATTTTTGCTTCTGAAAAGCTGGGAAAGGAGCTTTTGGAACCAGGAACCAGGGCTTGGAATTGACCACTGTCTCAGGTAGGGTCTCAGAGGCTCCAGCCCAACCCACAGCTCATGCTTCAGTCCTCACCCCAGCATCTCTACCAAATGACCTTTGTAACTGTTGTTGTTAGGTGCTGTGGAGTCTGCCCCAATTCATAGCAACCTCATGTATAACAGAACAAAACACTGCCCAGTCCTCATAATAGTTGCTATGTTTGAGCCCACTGTTGCAGCCACCGTGTCAATCCGTCTCATTGAAGGTCTTCCTCTTTTTTGCTGGTCCTCTATTTTACCAAGCATGATGTCCTTCTCCAGGGACTGGTCCCTCCCGATAACACGTCTAAAGTATGTGAGACGAAGTCTCACCATCCTCACTTCTAAGGAGCATTCTGGCTGTACTTCCTCCAAGAAAGATTTGTTCATTCTTCTGGCAGCCTGTGGTGTATTCAATATTCTTCTGGCAACACCGTAATTCAAAGGCATTGATTCTTCTTTGGTCTCCCTTTTTCACTGTCCAGTTTCTGCATGCATATGAAGCAAATGAAAACACCATGGCTTGGGTCAGGCGCACCTTAGTCATCAAAGTGGCATCTTTGCTTTTTAAGATTTTAAAGAGGTCTTCTGCAGCAGATTTGCCCAATGCAATATGTCATTTGATTTCCTGACTGCTGTTTCCATGGGCGATGATTGTCGATCCAAGTACAATGAAATCCTGGTCAACTCCAATATTTTTCTATTTATCATGATGTTGCTCACTGGTCCTTTGGTTCCCTGCTTAAACACCTCTGGTGACAGGGCGCTCACTACCTCTCACGGCAGCCCCAGGAACCTTTGGGTAACTGTTTTTACATTATCAAGGAGGAATTCTTCCTCTCCCACCTGTGGTGCTGGGGAACTTAGGGAGCCAGACAGACCCGGGTTCAGGTCCTGGTACCCCCACTTACTTTATGTAACTTCGAGCTGGTTACTCAGCCTCTCCGAGATTCAGCATCACAGCTGAAAAGCAGGCAAAGGACAGAATCTCCCTTGCGAGGTTGGTGCTAGGACTGAGTAACAGTGCCAGGCAGCACTGCTCTGATGCCGCCTGGGTTTGAATCCTGCTCTGGCTGCATGACACCAGGCAAATTACTTGACCTCTCTTTTTCAAAAGCATCCTCTTTTGGTGGATGACAGTAAGGGTGCTCGCCTCACATGTACCACCTACACCTGGCACGGCCGAGCTGGGCACCCAGTAAGCCTTCCATCAGCTCAGTTATAGTTACTGTGACTGTCCTTGTTCCCTATGGTGACAGAAAACGGCTAACCCGTCGTCAGGCGCAGCCCCCCACCACTCTGGTCCAGGAGCGCCAAGGAAGAATTAGAAGGGGCGTGAGGAGTGGTCTGCCTATGTCTGAGCTCACCTGTGCCAAGCACTGAAGCCAGCCGCACCTCATAGCGGGGCTTCCCATCTTGGCCGGCCTCCTTGAAGAGCCGCGTGTTGTAGGCACTAAGGTTCTGAAAAAGACCAGGGCAAGGGTTTGGGGGAGAGTGACGTCCCAAGAAGGCTGTGGGTCTGGGAGGAGGGGAGCCGGGGTCACGCATCAGAGAAAAGACACAGAGGCAAAGCAGGCCAGGGCAGCCGAGGGCCTTCCTGAGCCTGCTGGGCAGGCAGGCCATGGTAGCCGCTGCTGCTCTGCCCCGTCCACCAAGCACTAACTTCTACGAAGCACTGACTCGACTCAGTGCCAGGCACTAGCCCTCGGGTAGGCAGGTACCATGCCACGGGTGTGGAAACAGGTCACGGGGCTGGTGAGCGGCTGAGCTGGGAGTAACACCTCGGCTCTGAGCTTCTGCCTTGTCCAGCCCTGAGGCTGCTGTGGGCCGTACAGCCTGGGGTGGGGTGGGGATGGGGACAGTTCCATCCCAGGCACACATGGAAATATTCTCCTGACTTCTTAGACAGGGATTTCCCAAAGTCTTTTCCACCTCAAGGACCCAACGGCTCCAGGCCCGAGCTGAGACCAAGAGTGGGCACCAGCAGTGAGGGAGCTGGGACGAGGAATCCCACCGAACCACTGCCCTGAGGCCCCCAACCCCGAACCTGAGAGTCCAGGAAGTCTTGGGCCAGTTTGGCATCCTCCATGGTACAATCCCCAGAGAAATAGGTGGTGACTCCCTGTTGGGGAAAGGAGGGGAGGTGAGAAAGAAGCAGCGCCACGGTCAGGAGCTTGCAGGGCGCCCGGTGAATCCCTCCCCAGTGCACCCTCTCCTGCCAGCAACCTCCACCCAGCCCCCTCCACCACTTCCTCCCAATTTCTCATCTCTTTCCAAGGGGAAAAATGTAAAAAAAGAAAAACAAGAAAGAGAGGACAAGTCCACTTCTTTTCGTCCGAGAGCAGGTTTGGACAAGCGGCCTCCCACGCCCTAACCCCACTCCCCAGATGCCCCCCTCTGGCCTTCCTACAGCTCCACATAGCCTCTCACAGATGGCCCACCCCGCCAGCTCACCCTGTCCCCCACCCCACGTGGGCAGCCTCCAGAGGCCGGAAGCCTGGGACTCCTCCCTCCTCATCACCCCTCCTCGGATCCCTCAAGCTCTCAGCTCTTCTCTCCTGCCTTCCTTCCGCACCCAGCACCCAGCATCCTGGGAAGCCTCAACCAGGAGGACATTCAGAAAGCAGCCCACCCAACCTGCTTTCCATTTTACAGATGACAAAACTGAGGCCCGCAGTGGGGAACAACCTTGCTTCACGAGTGTGAAGCCGAGCTGGGATTTAAACCCAGGGCCCCTGTGTCCCTAGCAGGTGGCCTGGCAGGACACCCTCCACTCCCCCGTGCGGGTGGGGGCCTCACCTCCTTCCCCAGCCCCAGATGTCGAAGCCGCGGCTCCAGGGAGAACATGAGCTCCCCGCAGGTCTGCCAAAGGCCCCTGACTTCTTCGGGGTGCTGCTGAGCGGCCATACTCCCAAGGATCACCCGTTCCAGCTTCTCCTGCAGGGGAAGGGAGGCCATCAGCCCAGCTGCACCCCCAAACCTGCCCTCCAAAGCCTCCACACCAACCCGCACATGCTTCTCCCGCAGTTTAAGACCCTGCTGCTCACAGCGTGGTCCATGGGCCAGCCGGACCGACCAACCAGTGGCCATCGAGTTGATTCTAACTCATGGCGACCCCATGTGTGCAGAGTGGAACTGCTCCATAGGGTTTTCAAAGCTGTGGCCTCTCAGAAACAGACTGCCAGGCTTTTCTTCCGAGGTGCCTCTGTGTGCGTTTGAACCACCAACCTTTTGGTAGGGTACTGTAGTCGAGCGCTTAACTGTTTGAGCCACCCAGGGACTCTAGTAGCACTGACACTGAGAAATGTCCAATGTCAGGCCCCACCACAGACCAGCTCGATCAGAAGCTGATCTGACAAGGTCCTCAGGTGATCCGTGTGCATACTGATGTCTGAGAAGCCCTGGTTGGGCTGGAGCTCCATGGTCCTAGAGCGGGAGTTCCCACGCCCAGGCCTCTCCACCGTGCCCAGTGATGACCGAAAGGCTCTGTTTCAGCAAGCACCTAACAGTCCACAGAGCACCTCCACCTGCTCCCTCGCCCCCTCGAGGCAGCACGGTCAGGGAAGTGCCTCACGTTTCCCCTCCACGTGAGGAGGCTCCAAGCTCAGTGAGGCTGGATGGCCCCGCAGCCCCGCAGGGCGGAAGGGACACACTCCACGTCAGGGCTCCTCCTGCTGCAGCCCCCATTCTGCCGGCCCCATATTCCCACCTTCCCCAGCCCTCCCGCAGCTCACCTTAGGCAAGTTGGGGACAAACTTGGTGTCACCGAAGGACTTGTAGTTGCCCATGTTGGAGTAGACACCAGCAGCGTAGACCAGGAATGCCTGTACGGGGAGGGTGTCAATGACCCGGAGATGCAGTCTCCCCTCACCCCAGAGACGGTTCCTCTTGAGATAATAATAACCCTGGAGAAACTGGTCTGGGTGAGGTGGGGAAATCTGGGGGCAGGATCTAGATCCTGGGAGGCCCCCAACCGGCCCCAACATACTCTCATAGACCAACATTCACGCACCCGTTGTCCAGCCAAACTGGTCTTCTCAACGGTTCCCAAACATGTCCAAGCACTTAGCTACCTCTGCCTCCTCCCGCCACAGATCCCTCTCTGCCACCTGTGGCCATTCCAGCCAGCCTCTAAGGCCCAGTTCAAACACCACCTCCTTCTCCAGATACCCCAGCCTTGGCCCCTAACCTGTCAAGCAGCTGGCATCTGAAGCATCATGTGTTCGAGCTGGAGAGAGCCTTTGTCATCTACTTTACAGCTTTTGTTGATCCCAAATCTATTCTCTCTTCCTCTGGTAATAAGACCTCGATCTTCCTCTTGGGGGGCTTCTCACCCAGTTCCGGGAGTGGCCACACAACCTGGCTTGGCCAGTCAGAACATCACCTGCCCTGGCTACAGGGATGATTCAGGGGTGGGCACAAGGTTCAAGCTGGCCAATACGAGCCCTACTCAGGAAATTTCCAAAGAGCCTGTTTTATATCAGGCGCCATTCAAGCCTGGAGCCCCTGGAAATCCACGACTGGAATGAGGAAAGAAAGCAAAGCTGAGAGATGAAGAGTGCATCCAGATGGTTAACACTGAGCACCTGAATCCAGCTGTGCCTGAAGCCTCCTCTACTCCTGGGCTTTTCAATTATGTGAGTCAATGATTCTCCTTCTCAGTTCAGCCCATTTGAGCTGGATTTCTGTTACTTGCAAAGCAAAGAATCTCACTGAAAACACGGAACATTAGGTAGCACTTTTCCATTTACAAGCACTTCCCCAGACACCAGCTCTTTTAACCGGGAAACCAATCCTAGAGAGGGGAAGTAGTTGCCCAAAGTTCAAAGGAGGAAGAAGAAACAGCCTGGACCTCAGCTCAGAGATCAGGAATCCAATCCCTTTATTTGACATAGAGAAAAACAGATTATATTCTCATACGTTCTTAGTGGGAATGTAATTTGGTGAAACTTTTATGGAAGATGATTTAATAGCAGCAATCATCTGTAAAGGTACAGAGCCTCTGACCCAGCACTTATGCTTCTAGAAAAAGATCCTCCTCACATATGTGCACAAGTATGCTCACCGGGGTACCAATGGTCAGAAAAAGTGGGAACACTCAATGTCCAGCAATAAAGAAAAGATTAAGTTAATAATACACAATGAGATGGATTTATAAGTACCCCACGGAAGTTCTTCAAGTGACAAGTTCTTCCATGACAAAAACAAGGCACGGAAGAATGTGGAAAGCATGATCTCATTTACATAAAAGAGAAAACAAGGAAGTGCTGCGTGAGCGCAGGTACGTGGATAGGTATGTAACACACAGACAGGGGACAGAAAGTGAACACCGTGCCATCATCAGCGGTTTCCTCTGGACAGGACACTGAGAATGGGCGATCTCTGTGTGTTCTGTGTCTTTCTGCATCTCTGAACCACTGAACACTGCATTGGACACTCAGAATGCATTCAAGTATCACTTGGCTAACAGACTCCCAAACAAAAAGCAAGGGACATGCAGAACATTCTGTCCAGCAACACACAACATGGAGGAGGAAGATTTGGTCTAGGACTCAGACTTCCTCTCATTCCTGCCCTGAACTCATTCCTCTGCTGTTTCTGAATCTCCACATCACTGAGCTGTTTCCTCTACTCACAGCCCTTCTTATTCTCACAGCAGCCACCATCTATCCTGGAATTAAGCACTGTGCTAAGTGTGGGTCACCACAACCCTGAGAGGGACAGACTACCCTCGTGTACATTTTATAGATGAGAAGATTGAGGTTCTGGAGGGGAAGTTCCTATATTTGTAACTTTTGGTCCTCAGACCACTCCTTAAGAGAGAGAGGGAGAGAGACAGCTTTGTGCCCCTCATCGTGGTCCCTCACACTCAGGAGTGTGACTTAGCCTGAGGGAACTGACCTGATATTCCTCCTCAGTAAGGCCCTCGGCCAGGGCATGCTGGCGCAGCTGGTCAGGGTCCTGAGCCCGGAAGAGGCGGCTGAGCAGGGTGTAGATGTAGGGGGCCTCAGGCGAGGTCTGCAGCAGCACTGCCAGGCCCCCATACCAGGCGGCCCGAGACAGGTGGTGAGCATAGATGCGCTCTGTGGGCGACAGCAGGTGGAAGGCCTCACGGCAGTCCAAGCTAGACACACCGATGTCATTGGGCAGGATGTACTGGGTGTCCGCCATGAGACCTGCTGAGAACCATCACTGTCATCACAGACACCAACAGCACACCTGGCTGTGCACTCTCGCGATCTCATTGACTCCTCCCAAAAGCCCCGTGAGGAAGGGAAGGCAATTGTACCCACTCACCAGACATACTAACCGAGGCCTAGAGAAGGTCAGGTGACTTGCCCAAGGAGATTCCAAAATACATTGGTGAGCTACTGGTATTAAAGATAGGGAAACTGAGGCCCAGTGGGAAGGGCCAGTAGCAGAGACCTGCATCTCTGGACTCCCAGCCCAGGTGCCTGCCTTTGAGTCCCCTGGTCCTTCTCTGACCCCCTGGCCTCCTTGTCCAGAATCCTCCCAAAGTTTCTTCAACACCCCTTCTCCCTCCACATGGTGTTCACAAGGACAGAGTCCCAGGCTGCCAGCTGGAACACAGGTTCCAATCCTGGCTCAGCCCCAGGCTCCTAAAAGTCAAGCCAATGGCTTCATTTTGCTGCATCTCAGTTTCCTCCTTTGTAAACTTGGGATGATAATAACCCCAATAGCACCAGGTGGGTGAGCAGATTCCCTGAGGTCACACCGGGCAGCTAGTACCTAGAGCAGGAAGTGATTCTCCCGGTACTCTTCCTCCTTTACTGCTCCAGCCCGGGTCCCACGCTCACTCCTCTGTCTTTTCTTCGGCCCTCCAGCCTCCTGTCCCTCCCCGTGCTCGGCCAGCAGAGCCAGAGAGCCACTGAAATTGAGAGCTGGAAGAAAGCCCATTTTACAGGTAGGAAAACTAAGGCTTAGACAGAGAGATCAAAGTAACTTACTAAAGGTCACACAGCCCCGAGGGGGCCCGGGGTTCCCGCACCCAGGGCACCCTCCACTCCCTCTCTCCCTTGCAAGGAAGGAGTTTCAAGGCGCCCCCAACTTCCCGGGCTCCGCTCCAATAGCACGACCCGCAAGATTCTGAAAGTGGGCGTTAACCCTTTGCAGCCCGGAGCCCTCCTTGGCCTCGAGGCCATGACAGATTTGGAAGGGGCCCTGGGGACGGCTGAAAGGAAATAGCCCTGCGCTCGGTTCAGGGTCACCCCTAGTCCTCCGGGGACGACACCCTGACCCTTAATCCCGCGCGCCGCGCCTCACCTGCAGCAGCTGCTTGGTTCGCAAACTCATTTCCTGCTTCCGGCTCCCCCCCATTCATGGGGGCTCCGCGAACCCCGCCCCCACCGGCCAATGGCCGGGCCTCGGGGCCCCGATGGGCGTAGGTTCTAGCCAATGGGCGCGCCAGCTCCCCGCCCCCCCCCCCGCCCCCTCCCGGAGCTGCCAGGTTCCACGCGGATTGGCCTTTGTCCGGAGGCCGCGAGGGGCCGTAGCCTTCCGGCCCGTCAAGGCCGCGACCTGGTCCCGGCAGACCGGGCTGGCTGGGTCCCCGAGCCTGGGCTAGACCGGCGGGGGCGTCAGGGACAGAGCACCGGGGACCTTTCTATACACAGCCCCGATCCCGCTATTTTGGGGTTGTCAGCACCCCCAGAATCCCCTGACCTCAGTTTTGCAACCTGCATAATGGGAGTGTTTTCCCCCGCCTCACCGGATCCGGGGAACTGGGGTGGAGACGTTGGAGGCTGCAGGGCGCCGCGTGCAGGGAAGGGAGGCTATAGGCGAGCGAGCTCCGGCTGGGGCTGAGATGGTCCCGCCCTGCAGGGACGCCGAGGAACGCCCCTGACTCGCCAAGGGCCTTGGGGCGGCCGCCGAGCTTCAGTTTCCACAGGATAAAAGGGCGAGAGGAGGAAGGGTCCCGGCAGTTTGGAGTGCTTGTCAGGTGCCTGATAAATGAGAAAGCGGCCTGCAACCCCCAAAGGCTGCGCAGGGCAGAGCCAGCCACTGTTAGATGTGTAAGAGGACAGCCTCGGTGGGAGCAGCGAGATGGTCCCGGGTCAGAGGCTGGCCGAGCCGTGCCTGCCGCCTGAGGTGGAATCGGTTACTGGCGGTGCGCCTTGGTTGGTTCACTTCACCTCCAGAGTCTTGCCACACTCAGCGGGGAGACCGGGCTAATAACTGTATTCACTCCAAGGGCTGTTGTAGACGTAAGTGAGGTTTTGACTGGGCAGTGCTGCCCCCTAGAGTTGTGCAAAGGTGGGGTGGTGCGGTCTGAAATTCAGTACACTATCCTGCCACGCCTTCGCCACGCCTATGTCTTGGCCCAGGGCAGCGTCTGCCCCACACCGGAACCGGTTTCCCATTTACAAAGATGCCCATGGGCTAGGCACAGACGTGGCACATCAGTGCTACTAACTGTTGGGACGATTATCATTATACCGGGACATCAATAAATTGACCTGTGTCCTTAGAAAAGTCACCTCTCCTTCCCTGTGCCTCCATTTTCATCATCCTTAAAACGGCTATAAAGTCTTCTCTGACTTGGGTGAAGTTGAAAGGTGCACAGATTATGGAGGTAGTGCCGCCCGCTGCCACCAGAGGGCAACTCAGGCAGGCAAAACACGTCTGAAGTACTCTAGACTCCAACCGAGCTGCATTTTTATGGTCGTAGCTTAAATGGGCGTTTACTGAGGTCCTGTGCTAGCAGCTCAACAGAGAGGCTCATTTAATTCTTGCAACAACCTGGCATAGGGTATCATCATTCCCTCAGGGAAAACTGAGGCTAAGAAAGGTTCACTGCCTTCCCTAAGGCCCCACAGCATGTCCTCAGGTGTCCCTGAACTGGCCTCCCTCCACCCAGGCCTCCTGCCACACTGTCCCTTCCCTCTGCCTTGAACACATACCCAGTATCACATGGAGCAGTGCCTTGGCTCTTCCTCATGGAGATAAAGAAGGGGTGAGGAAGTTACACTATTCCTATTGCTGTCAATTCGATTCCAACCCATAGCGCCCCTGTAGGACAGAGTAGAACTGCCCCATAGGGCTTCCAAGCAGTGGCTGGCGGATTAGCCGCCGAGCTCTTAACCACTGTGCCACCAGGTCTCGTCGTAAAGATTGTAGCCTAGGAAACCCTATGGGGCAGTTCTACTTTGTCCTATAGGGTCGCTATGAGTTGGAAATCGACTTGATGGCAGGCGACATGTTACAGGTGCTCTCCACACATCCACAGCCACCTGGTGAGGTCGTCGTTAACTGTTGTTGAGTTGGCCCCAACTAATGGTGACCCCATGCATGTGTTACAGAGTACAACTGCTCCAGGGGGGTTTCTTGGCTGTAATCTTTATGGAAGCATTTCGCCAAGCTTTTCTTCTGTGAAGCCACTGGGTGGGTTCAAACTGCCAACCTTCAGGTTAGAAGCCAATAACAAACTGCTTGTGCCCCCCAGGTTCTGAGGCCAGGATTGTAGTTCCCATTTAGCAGTTCTAGAAGCTGGAACCCTGAGAGCTGGAATGAGCAGAGCTGGGGACCCCTCCACCACCACCTTAGAGTTCTCCTGGGCCTGTGTGCTGTCCTTAGCTGAGGCCTGACCTCAGGCCCTGGCTCGCCTATCACTTCTCTCAGAGTCTGAGATTCCCTGCTGGACATGGGATCGAAATGTTCCCCTGCCTGGTTGCCAGAGAGAAAACAGGTGGGGAGAGTTGATTTCCTGGAGTTTTTGTTTGTTTCTGGATGTGTGTGTGTCTTGAAAAGTGCCTGCATCCAGCCCAGCATCCCCAGCCGAGCTCCACCGCAGTGGCCAGTGGGATGTTTCAGACGCAGAAATCAGATCCCGTCACCCTCCTCTCACTACCTGCTGTGTCCTCTCTCCTCCCAACAGCCCCAGGTCTGGTGTCTCTGGCCCCAGCCAGCTGTGTGGCCTTGGGCAGTCTCTCCCCCGGGAGCCCGCACTCCCCAAGGCTCTGGCAGCTCTGTCTTCCACTGGGGACGATGCCCCCAGGCAGGCTTGTGCGTAGAGCCCCTTCCTCAGATTTTGATTGCTCTAGAACTCCACCCACCTGTCTTCCTGGCTGGTTCCCCAGGAATGGTTCGGGGGCAACTCCAGCAGCACCCCGAGCTTGGTCCCTGGCTCACAGATGCAAACAACACTTAGCCAAAATGAACTGAGGTCCAGTTCAGAGCCCAGCCCAACCCTGCCCCTCCACACCCAGCTCATTAGTTCTCCAGCATTTTCCTTGTTCCACCTCTGCCCATGCCACTCCCTTCACCTGGGCTGCCCTCCCTGATTCTGGAAACACTCTTGGCCTTTCAAGACTTGGCTCAGGCTCCAGCTCCTCCCTTTGCCTTATGAGCCCCCGTTTCTCACTCCTCAGAGCACTCCTGCCTACCCGTCAGCCCTCTGCATCTGGCTTGGCCTGGGGTGCAGGTGGCCAGCATGGGGGCAGAGCCATCACCAGTGCCCTACACGGGGCTGGACACTGAACAGGTGGGTGTCCACAACGCCATCCTCCAGCTCCTTGCTGGAACGTTCTCTAAACCCTGCTCACTGCATCCCACCCGTCTAAGGAAAGCCGTCTCTGAGGCCAGTCAGGCAGCCATGGGTTCCAATCCTGCCTTGGACACTTTCTAGCCATGTGACTTGGAGCAGGTGCCCTAATCTCCCTGTCAACAGAAATGGTAACCCCTCCCTCCGTGGGTTACTGGGAGGATTAAGCAACAAAGCCTCAGAGAAGCAGAGCCCGGCCAAGTCAGCGCTCAATGAATGTTCTTGTTATTCTCGTCAGCACAGTGCGGGGCACATGGTGGGCATTTGGTAGTGGTAGCCCTTGTGTTACAGCCAACGCTCTGAGAACGCACATCCTCCCTCCTCCCTCGGTTGACTCCTGGCTGTCCACAAATTAAGGTTCAGAATTCTCCAACCAGCACCTTCCCCCAGTAGCACGGCTGACCTCCGGCTCCAGCCCCCTCTCTGCCCAAGTCTCTCCTGTGTGGTTCCCTGCTTACTTACCCCTGAGCCTTTGCAGGGCTCCTCCTTCTGCCCAGAGCACCCTCCCAACTTTGTGGGCCTGGAGGATCCTGATCGGCCATCGCGGCTGGGCTCCTCTATCCCCTCCCTCACTACCCAACCAGGCAGTGGGCCCTGCTCCACGGCCCCTGGCACTTCCGGTTCTAGCCCAGAGGAAGCTGTGCTGGCATCTGGTAACTTGGCCTGTCCTCTACTAGGCTGAGGACTCCACCAGGTGGGGAACCAGGTCTCACTGTCTCTGTGTCCCCAGCGCCCACTGGGCATGGAGTCCAGCCTGCAGCAGGTAGCAGCAAACGCCGGTCCCAGCCAGCCGCCCACTCGTCGCTGGCTCAGGGCTGGAGGCGCTGCACGCATGCGGGACACGCGGGACTTGTGAGGGCAGCTGAGCAGCGAGGTTTATAGAGGAACCCAGGGCGGCATAGGAAGGGGGAGTATCTGGAACTGGGTCAGCAGGCTCAGGGCGCGGCCAGCCTGAGCTGGGGTCAGGGGCCCCTAGGCCCCTTCACTCCCCCAGGGGCACAGTGTAGGCGGCATGAGGCGGCACGCCCAAGGAAGGGCAGGGGCGTGGGGAGCCACCCTCCATCAGTCCGGTGCAAAGCTGGTACCGAGCCCCACCCATCTGATTGGGGTAGGGATCTCAGGGACCCGCTAAGGGGGGAGGGGCACAGCCCATCCAACGCATCCATCTGGGGTGGCTGTTGGCCAGCAGGTTGGGTCCCACATGCAGGGCTCCTCTGGGCTGCAGAAGGTGGGTGCCCTGGGTGGGCAGCGGGCGCAGCAAGCAGGAGGCCCTAGGGAGCCTAGTCCAGCGGCCCCTGGAAAATGAGGCGGATGCAGCCATGCTCGCCGGTGAGCCAGGCCCCACAGAAGGGGCAGGCGGCGTGGAAGGCGTGGGTGCCGTGGGGCAGTGGTGTCTGGGCCCAGTAGCGGGCAGTCTTCTCGGAGCAGACGTGGCCGCAGGGCGCAAAGGCATGGCTGGGTGGCCCAGGGTCCAGGCAGAGGCCGGCCTCCTGGCCAAGCCACAGCGGCACGTAGGGCCCCACGAGGCGACAGAGGGGACACTCACGCTCCTGCGGGCCCCGCTCCCGCCGGCAGCCCCAGCCGTGGTAGCCGTGGACGTGGCCGCAGCGGACATAGACCCAGGGCTGCTGCTTGTCAGGGGCCGTGCGGCCCCGGGCCGGGCTGGGGAAGGCCAGGGTGCTGAGGCCCACTGGACACTGGGGCCGAGCTGCGTTGGCCTCCTGCCGCTGGGCCTCCAGCTGCTTCAGCGTGGGTGCCCGCAGCAGCCCGGCTGGCGTGCGCCACAGCAGAGTGGCCCCGCACAGGTCGATGAGCGAGCCATCTTGTAGCACATTGGACTCGTTTTCCACCTGCCGGGGCAGCAAAGGGCCTTACTGCCCTAAAGGCCCCTAGGCCTCCCTACCTCCCAGCAGGCAGCCCTCACCCAGCCAAGCTTCCTGTCCAGCCCCAGAACCACCCTGGAGAGTACCCACTGGCGGGCGGGCTGGGGCAGAGGTGCAGGGAGGGCTGGGCAGTCACGTGGGAGCGCGGCCAGGTGCGGGGGCGGGGGGGGGATGGGGGGCCCTCCCGGGGGTAGGGGGGATGGGGGGCCCTCCCCTCCCCTCTCCTCCGCACGCTGACCCTAACCCTCACTCTCAGCAAGACACAGGCCTGGGTTCCCTCTATCGAATCCGAGGTTTGAATCACAACAGTTTTTCTAAAACATTTCCCCAAACATTTCCCTAATGGCAGAGGTGGGAACTCCTCCACCTGGAAAGCTGGTGCCTTAGTCCAAAGCAGCTGTGCCGAGGCTTGTGGTTAAAAGCAAGGTCTCGAGCGCCAGACTGCCTGGATTTGAATCCTGGCCCTGGCGCTTACTAACTCAGTGTCCTTGGTCAAGAAACTTAACGTCTCCGCATTTTCATGTCCTCAACCTCAAGATGGAGAACACATCCAGGTATCCAGAGTGGTTGTCGTGAAGATTAAATTAATTACTCGATGTAAACACTGTGAACTTTGCCTGGCACATAGTAGGTGCTCAGCAAGAGTGTGCTAGTGAAATGTTCACACGCGTAAGTTTTAAAAAACAACGTTTCCCCAAATCTCCCCGTAGTGTTAGCAGTCTGGAAAGACAGGCATGTTTTTTCCTGAGGCTTGGAGTCCCCTTGCCCAACATCCCCACGCCAGGAAGAGCTCTGTCTGCATGGCCCATTTGAGGAGCGTGGCTGCATACCTAGGACAAGCCCCTGACCCTCTCTAGAACTCACTGCCGGCTCCTAACTCAATTCTCTAGTTTGTACCACACGAAGGGTCCAACACCATCTGTGTCAGAACCACGCTGAGGGTTCTTTCCCGCTGGGAGAGGATGAAAAAGAGAAACCCGTCTGAACACGACAGACGCGCTACGAACTGCCATCACTCTAGGCTATAAACTGCTCACACCCAGGCCATGTGTCATCCTCATAAGAGGGTGTGATTTTTTTAAACTGGTGGCATCCTCAAAGTCTCTTGGCGCTGCAAGGTGTGTCTGTCTGCTCCACTTCACCTCACCCGTGGACCTCCGGTGGTATGTGGCTATACTTGCGGACACTGGTCTGGTCCTGTCTGTGGCAAGGGGCAAGTGGTGTGTGCCAAGAGCTCCTGAGCTCCCTTGGACAGGAGGACGGGAGACCATCCCCCGGCTTGGGCGAGGGGACAGGCAGATTGGGAGGGGCCAGGAAGCATGGAACGGATGGGAAATGGATCAGGCTAGAAGCCTCCAGGCCAGGCCACCTACCAGCTTCCCCCGCTGCTGGGCCGAGCGGCTGTCCCGCAGCGTGTACACATTTCCGCAGACCGAGATCTCCCGCCAGACGCCTGGGGCTGAGTCCTCGGAGAAGCCGCCAGCTGGGTGCATGACCAGGACCCCATTGGTGGTCAGGCCGTCCATCAGGCCATCGGGTGTCCGCCATTTGGCAGCCCGCTCCTGGACCACCAAAAACAAACCAACCAACAAACCAAACATGTTGCCATTGAATTGATTCCAACTCGTGGCGACCCTGTGTGTTCCAGAATAGAAATGTGCTCCACAGGGTTTTCTTAGCTGTAGTTTTTACAGAAAGTCACCAGGCCTTTCTTCCACAGTGCTGCTGGGTGGGTTCAAATTGCCAACCTTTAGGTTAGTAGCTGAGCACAAACCATTTAAGCCACCCAGGGACCACGTGTGGGGTCGAATCACATCTCCCTGCATGGCCCCTAGCAGACTGCTTGCCCCTTCTCTGGGACCCTCTACGCTGTCCCCCCAGGTCAGAGGTGGCCCATAGAGCACTGGCATTGGAGCTGCATGACCTTGGGCAAGTCACCAACCTCTCTGAGCCTCACTTTGCTCATCCATTAAGTGTGGCTGCTAACCCCTGCACAGGTCTTGGTTATGATTACTGTGGGTTGGCCCAGCACCCCAGGATGCTGCACCTCCCAGCCCAGCCCTGCCTAGGGGCTCACTCACTCCAAGAAAGATGTTGCTGGAGGCATCGAAGCCAGCGGCATAGATGCGGGCAGTGTAGGGCGGCCGGCGGTCACAGAGGATGCGGCAGGCGTAGCGGGAGATGGTGCTCTGGGTGGAGGGACCCTCCCCGGCCCCTCCTCCAGGGGACGTGTCTGTCACCACAAAGTCGATCATATTCTCAGTGGAGCGGCCGATCTGTGAGGGTACGGGCACAGGGATTGGAGATGCACAGGTAAGTCCCACAGGCTTCACACCTGGAGTTCTCAGCAGCTGCTCCTCATGCAGGGACACCTTTGATGAGGTTGCCAGGAGGGGGCAGCACCATCCCAACTCTGGGGCCCTCTGGGCTCCAGGTGGGGCCTCCAGGGCTGGTGAGCTGAGGGGTCTGGGGCTCCTCTTTCTCTGTCTCCCCACAGTTTTGGGGCAAGTAAGAAGGGAGTACCCTACTCAGTAAAAACAAGTCGATTTGCTGTTAGAACAGGGAAAGAGCAATACCCACGGCTTGAGAGTGCTCAAATATTAGCAGCAAAGAGTGACTTTTTCACAAGTATTCATTATATGCCAGGTACCATGTTAAATGTTTTATGTACAATATTTCATTTAATATTCCCAACAATTCCATAGGGTGGGGACTATTATTGGTCCTGTTTTACAGATGAGGAAACCGAGAGGTTAGTTAACTCTTGCCCAAAGTCACCCAGCTAGTAAGTTGGAACCGGGATCTGAACCCAGGCAGCACGGCTCTGAGCCCACACTCTGAACCACTGAGCTGTACGGCCTCCTGCAGACTGGGAGTCTGGTCTTGAGTTGAGTCTTGATATAGTCACCGAATTGTTGTGTGACTCTGAAGTCAACAGTCCTCCCTGGGACAACGTGAAGAGTAGTCAGTTGCACTGAGTGTCCCAGAAGCACCTTCCCTGAGGCCTTCGGCCCTCCGGCCCCACCCTAAAACGCCTGCAGAGCCTCGGGTTGAGGCCCAGTGGCCCAGTAGCCAGGGGTCTGTGGAGGGACCTGAGCATACCTGGAACATGTCTGTGTCACTGTCGTGTGTATACTCCACTATGACCGAGTGACTCCGGGACAGCGTGTACGAGATGCTGTGCTGGCCACGGTTACTCAGTGCCTGGTAGAGAGAAAAGAGAGGTTGCTTCCTAGGGCATGTGACTATGAGAAGTGTGAGCCCCTGAGCCAGAAGCTAGGTCCCAGGGGAGAGGCCCCACCCTTCGCAGAGGGTGTACGATGCAACAGGCGCTTTACACGGGTTACCTTATTTCATCTCTACAGCCACCCCTCGAAGCAGACATGGTTATTCCATTTAACAGTTAAGGGAACTGCAGCTCAGAGAGGAGAAGAAACTGGCCTGAAGCCACACAGCTGGGAACAGCAGAGCCTGAATTCTAACCCAAATCCTCTGAAACCAAAGGCTTTTCCTTTGCCATTGCTGTGTGACTGTCACATCCCCTCTCTGAGCCTCAGCTGCCTCTAAAATGATGCTGATCTTTTTTGCCCAATGGATAGGAACTGATGGCCAAGAGGCTTCAAGAAGGCAAGGTCCGGGGAGGGAAAGCACTTTGCAAACTGTAAAGGCTTGTGCACACTCTGGCAGCCCCGCTGGAATGGTGATGATGACACAGAGGGCTCGCCTGCTCCGATGGGGCCGTGGGCAGGTAGGACTGGGAAGGCTGAAGACCTGGGACCTGAGCAGGGAGGTCAGGGCGGTGCCCAGGTCTGCTGGGATACGCTGCTTGCCTTGGAGACGAGTGGCGTGGAGATGTGGTGCATGACATCTGGCTTCACCCCGTTGGCATGTGGCCGGCGGCTCAGCGCCAGGCGACTCCGCCGACGGCCCTTGTCCCCACTTGCCAGACACCCGTTGTAGCTGTGAAGGTGGGAGGTTAAGAAGAAAGGGTTGGGGGCAAGGAGAGAAAAAGAAAGAAATGAGTCCCTGGCAAGACTTGGAGGAAACTGACAACTTCTGGGCAGATCCTAGTCTAATAAACAAGCCCTAGAACCACCAGAGACTAGAAGACCCTACGATACCACATCGGTGCGTGTGGGGAGTGGGGAGGGGCCAGGTCATCTCCAAAAGGCTTCATTCAATTAAGCAAGCGTTCCCTGGATGCCTGAGCCATGCCTGGCCTGAGGCTGGGCTCTAGGGAGGCAGAGATGCCACACCTTGGGTCCGTTCTGTGACCTCAGGGGGAAGGCGAGAGGGTCCCTGACTTCTCAAGAAGCCCGGGCACCACCTGCATAACCAGGCACAAGCCAACTACGCCACAGGCCCAAAGGCAGGAGAAGGAATTTTGGCCCAGCCTCAGATTTCTGAAAGAGGGAATGCCTATACTGGGCTTTGAAGAACCGGAAAGAATTCATCTTTAGAAAACTCATTTATTACATCACAAGCGCTACTGGAAACCCAAGTGAAAGAAAAAATATACCCACAATGCCACTACCTCCATATTTCCATATATGTCAAATTTCTGCCTTCCTTTCCAGCTCTTGTCCAGAGGAAATGGCTGTGAGAGGCAGATGGGTGAATAAGAGCCTTGATCGCTGCCATGCACGGGGCCCTCCTGGGTTCCTGGTGCTTCACATTGTCAATTATCTAATGGAATCTATGCAACATCCTGCCCGGCAAGGGTCTTTCTTCCCATTTTATGAATGAGGACAAGCGAGGCTCAGGGAGGTAAACTGACTTACTACAGGTCTGACGTTAGTAAGTGAAAAAGCCCAGATTTAAGCTTGGGTCTGTCTGACTCCAGCCTCTCCTGCAAAAGTCCTTCTAGGGGGGAGGGCTCCCCCTAGCCAAGGCCCCGAGGCTGGCAGCGTCTAGTGGGATCAGGGAAAAGGCAGTGAAGTGTAGTTGGGGAAGATGCAGCCTGAAAGGTTGGTGGAAGGGCCCTGACCCCCAGGCTGAGGAGTCTGGACTTAATTCTGTGAGCAGTGGGGAGCCACAGAAGGTTGTAGAGAAGGAAGTGACAGGATGAATAGCTGTCAAATACAGACAAAGACCACTTGAATCAGAATCTCCCAGTGAGCTTGGCAAAATACAGATTCCCTGGCCCTGCCCATGCAGAGTCTGATTCTGTAGGTTTGGGGTGGGCCTGGCAATGTGTATTTTCAATGAGCTCTCCAGGCAGCTCTGATACAGAGCTAGTGTAGGGATTCACTGCTCTGAGAGGACAAATGTCCATCAAGGGGGCCTGTAGCCTCAGATCTGCAGTCTCCCCACAGTGGCCTCACTCTCGACTGGAAAGCGAGCCCTTCCTTTGGGACCCCAAGCAGGTGCTTTTCCAATGCAAGCACCCCGAGAGGGATATTGCTTTTGCCCTGGTGAGCACTTCACATGTGTGGAGGTAGGCCTTAGGGTGGAGCAGCAGAGGGCACAGGCTCAGGACTCAGCCTGTGGCTTAAATCCTGGCTCACATGACCTCTGCAAAATGGGGCTAACTTATCAGGACCTACCTCACAGGTTCATTGTAAGATCTGCATGAGATAAAGCATTTTTAAATGCTCAGCATAGAGTTTGGCATATATATAGTAAGCCCTTGACAAATATTAAATATTATTAGTAGGAATAAAAGTTCATGGCACATGTCAATAAACAGTTGTTACTGGGTGCCATCAAGTCGGTTCCAACTCATAGCGACCCTATAGGACAGAGTAGAACTGCCCCATAGGGTTTCCTAGGCTGTAATCTTTACAGGAGCAGATCGCCAGCTCTTTTCTCCCACAGAACAGTTGGTGGATTCCAACCGCCAACCTTTCGGGTAGCAGCTGAGCGCTTAACCATTGAACGACCATGGATCCTTGAACAAACAGTAAAACAAACAAACAAAAAAACCCACCAAACCCATTGTCATCGAGTCAATTCCAACTCACAGCGACCCTATTGGCAGAGTAGAACTGCCCCGCAGGGTTTCCAAGGCTGTAATCCTTATGAAAGCAGCAGTCAAGAAATCAAACAACATATTGCATTGGGTAAATCTGCTGCAAAAGAACTCTTTAAAGTGTTCAAAAGCAAAAATGTCACTTTGAGGGCTAATATGCCAAGCCATGGTATTTTCAATTGCCTAATATGCATGCGAAACCTGGACAATGAATAAGGAAGACTGAAGAAGAATCGATGCCTTTGAATTATGGTGTTGGTGAAGAATATTGAATATACCATGGACTGCCAAAAGAAGGAACAAATCTGTCTAGGAAGAAGTACAGCCAGAATGCTTCTTAGAAGTGAGGATGGTGAGACTTCGTCTCACATACTTTGGACATGTTATCAGGAGGGACCAGGTCCTGGAGAAGGACATTATGCTTGGCAAAGTAGAGGGTCAGCAAAAAAGAGGAAGACCCTCAATGAGATGGACTGACACAATGGCTGTAACATGGGCTCAAACCGAGCAAAAACTGTGAGGATAGCACAGGACCAGGCAGTGTTTCGTTCTGCACAGGGTTGCTATGAGGCAGAACCAACTCAATGGTACCTAACAACAACGATCTTTATGGAAGCAGACTGCCACATCTTTCTCCAGCAGAGCAGCTGGTGGGTTCGAACTGCCAACATTTTGCTTAGCAGCCAAGCACTTAACCACTGCTCTACCAGGGCCAACAAACAGTAGCCATTATTATTTCTCCATAATCATCGTAATGATAACACAGTTCATCATAACTGATGGCACAGAGAGAGGCCCAAAGGAGACATGGGTAGGGAAGGAAGAAGAGGGGTCTGTGCTGGCGGAACAGCTCAGTGGGTGGTACAGGGGTCCTGTGCCCGGGGTCAGGCAAAGACTGGGCAGGGAGGAGTTCTGCCCAGCCACCAACTCACGTCGCTTCCTGTCTCCTGGCCTCAGTTTTCTCACCTGTAGCATGGGGGTCAGTTGTGGCTTAGTGAAAGTGCTCTAGACCTAGAGTTAAGAAAGATCTGGGTCCAAATCCCAGCCCTGCCACTTACCAGCTGTGTGCCCTTGGGCCAGTCACTTCCCCTCTCTGAGCCTCGGTTTCCTCACCTCCTTCCTCACAGCATCTTTGTGAAGATTGAAATGAAATAATGTCCATGAAAGGGCTTGGCACAGGCCTGCCTCACAGAACCCTTGATACGTGCCAGGCACTGTCCTACGCACTTTACAGAAATCACCTCTTTCCTTCCTTCCGACAACCCTCTGAGCCCTCTGAGATAGGTATTATCATCATCCCTACTGGTCAAATGGGAAAACTGAGGCACAGGGAAATTCAGCAGCTTGCAGAGGCAGGATTTGAACCAAGCAGTTTTGCTCAAGAACCAGAGTTCTTCACCCCACACTATACATAGTAGGCACTTTATGAAAGGCAGCTGGTGTGATTTTTTTTTTTTATCTGATCAGAAACTTAGGTGGGCAGTAATTATCTCAGTAATTTATGAAAAATGGGAAGGTAAAATAACAATTATGAATTGAGGTGGGTTGAGTCAACTGGATCTCTTCATCTGGCAAGATGGGGGGGACCAACAGCAGAAGGGTGCTATGTGGGAGACCTGGGGTCCTTTTTCTGGCTGCCCTGGGGATGCCTGATGACCCACCCTGCCTGATCCAGGGATGCTCACCCCAGGACGATGAGTTCACCATACTTGATGGGCTCCTCGCCTGGCTGTGCATCTTCACGCGGAGACGAGAGGACGCAAGAGCCCTTGTTTCCAGGGTGCCGGAGGCCTGAGGTTTGGGGGGACCCCACTTCAGGGTTTCCTTCCAGCACCATTCTGGGCAGGGTGGGAGAGGAGAAAGAGAGCTTTGCAGACTCCCACCCTGAAACCCAAAACCCGTTGCCTTCGAGTCGATTCTGACGGAGTAGACGGAGTGGAATTGCCCCATAGGGTTTCCAAGGCTGTAAATCTTTACAGATGCAGACTGCCACATCTTTCTCCCGTGGAGTGGATGGTGGGTTCAAACCGCTGACGCCTCCGTTAGCAGCCGAGCACTTAACCACTGCGCCACTGCCCCCCTCCCAGCCCGTCAATCTCAGCTCTGGCCTGCTGCAGGGCCACCTAGGCTAAGGACGAGTGACCTTTCACCACCTCTGTTGCTATGGCAACCACTTTACCTCTGCCTCCCATAAACTGCCAGAGTTGCTGGGATACCAGGGAGGAGAGATGGCTGGCTCCAACCAAGAGGGAAGGATGGCACCATCAGAGGGTGAGGATACTTGGAAGGGCCAGCAGGATGTCAACTTGGCCAGAGGCTGCTTTTTGGCTAAGACTCCAGTCTGGGATGTGCTTGGAAGAGGGGCACCCCAGGAGTTGGGGGCCCTTACCCTTCATCTCAGACTCAGTTCCTAGATTTAGGTCTCAGCCCCGGGCCCTCAGAGATCCCCTCTCTGTTAGGTTCTTGGAGTGTATCTGTCCGTCTTCGTCTTTCTGACTCTTTGTGGGGCCAGGCCTCTGTCCGTCTGTCTCTTTCTCAATGACTCTCTGTCCTCCCAGCCGCTGTCCTTCTCGCAGTCTCTCTCCCCACCCTCCTCCCCATCTCTGCCTGTCTGCAGCCCGCCTCCTCCTTCCCATCCATCTGCCTCAGTCTCCCCATCTTGGCTTCGCCCTGCGGGCAGGCCTCCAGACCCCTCCGGAGGCGCCCCCTCCCTCCCGCAGGTGTCTGTCTGCATTCCCGGGTTTGCCGGGGCTCCGGGGCCTGTGGGGCGGCGCTCCCCACTCGGGCTTGGGCTGCAGCAGAGCCTCGCCTGCAGGAAGCCTGTTTGGAAACCGCCCCGCGCAGGAGGGGCCGCCCGGGCAGGCCCGCGCCCCGCGCCCCGCGCCCCGGGCGCACAGGCCAGCTTAGCGCCTACGCAGATATATCCACCCGAGGGCCGCCACAGACCCGC